GATTGAAAATGAGAATTCAAAAATAAAACCATTGGCATGGTGGCGTTCTATGAACAATATAAATACGACATCAATGGAACTTGCTCAACAGCTTCATACAGCTATTGCATCGTCAGCCAACATAGGTAACGGTTTAGTCCATTCAAAACTACGTAATCGGCTAGGCAATGACAAAGCGGCTAAGTTGGTTTCAATTTTCAAAGAACTTGATTCGATCAGTGATGACGTGACTGATGAGATTGATGATTATGAGATTGAAAGAGTGTGAAAAATTTGTGAACGCTTGTATGCAAATTTTTTTAAATTTTCCAATTGTTCCTATGTTCCTAATTCCTATTATTAATGAATAGATAATTAATATGTATTATGTACTATGTACGTATGTTAAAAAGTTTGTATAATGTATCTCAGAATTTTTTCTATTTTCATTCATTATAATAATAAAGAAAATGAAAAAAAAACGCTTGTTTAATATAAGTGTTTTAAACATGTTTTAAACTGTTTTGAACAAAAACTGTTTAAAACTTGAGCACATGTTTAAAACATGTTTAAAACAGTTGATTACAACAAAATGTTTAAAACAAAACAACCCTGTGAGGAACGTAATTTTCATCGGTTTACTCCATTTTCTATACGTTTTTTTTTCTTCAAAAAAGTTTCCTTTCTCTGCAGGGAAAACTGACAAGTGTCAAAATTTATTTGAACATTTGCTAATAATATATCATGCCGTGGCAACCTAACAAACAACCTACTTTAACCAAGATGTAAAAAAGTCATTGTCAAGTAATTCTGACATTTATAGGGTACTGAGACACAGGTAGCTTTGATTTGATCACAAAACTTAATAATTATTTTCTCATAAAAAAACGATTTCTTCCACTTGTTGGATAAAACATTGTATGCCACTCTTGTGTTATGTTTCCTAAGTCACTTGAGGATTCTCGCGTGACTTATTCTCAACATAACACACTAGTACCATAAATTACTATTATTTGATTGCCCATAATAAATAGAAGATGATACGAACATTTCAAAATTTTTACTGGATCTAATAAACTTCCTCAAATTCATTCGATGTTTTGGGATGTGGAAAGCAGTAGAAGGAATTTTATCAGAGAAACTAACGGCGCTATCTGAATCAAGATCACTGAAACAGATTTTAAATCAATTATAACTTATTTCAACAGTAAATTACTAACTATGAATGTGGAAAAAACGTATTTTGTACCCTTCAGTTCATATAAATCTGGCCTACCATCATATAAAACACTCTGTATCGAGAATAACAGTGATAACCAGAATATTGAAATTAAATCTGTTCTGTGCATAAAATATTTGGGAATTTATATTGATAGTCACTTGAAGTGGGACAAACAGACAGAATATGTTACAAAAAAAAATCAGATGTATTTTACCTAAATTAAAATATCTTAAAAATATCCTTGGTATACGTCAGCTACGGATCATTTACTTTGCACTGGTGGAAAGTCACTTATACTATGGAAACATTGCATGGGGAGCGGCTGCTGCAATACACATTAATAAAGTAGAAGTAATACAAAAATATGCCCTCAAAATAATTTATAGAAAAAACTATACCTACCCTTCAGAAAAACTCTTTCTCGATACTCATGTATTAGACCTAAAAAAAATATATTGCAACACTATTACACTATGGCAATATACTCACCAATCCGAACTCGTCGACATCGTACATAACTATAATACAAGACATAAACAAAATAGAAATGTGATACCTAAATCTGAAAAAACTATTTTCCAGAGATCCTTCACATATCTGGCTCCAAAAATATATAATGAATTACCAGTCGAACTGAAACAAATTAAAACGATAAATCTTTTCAAAAAAAAACTGAAACAGTGGTTATTCAATACTCCAAAAATCATTTTATGTAATTGGATTGATATTAGAAATATTAGTACAAATTGACAACAATTCAACTTTTTTAATATTTTTACATTCTAATATTTCTTCAATTTATTATTTTAACACTATAATTATTATATATGAATCCATTTTGTTTAACCGACCTCTAATGCAATCAAGGTCCCTTCCTATTACATTTATCTCTTATCATTGATTTTATACATTATTTATTATATACTTACTATTCACTCAATGTCCTGGTCATTTAAGAACAATTATTTTTAAGAATTTTATTATTATTGTTTTACATCATTTTATCTTTTTTATCCATGAATAACTGTGAGTTCCATATTTCCTTATAACATCTACAAGGTGTAGAAGGGAGAAAAACGAGCATCTCACGCACAAGGGTTATCTATCCTTTTGTGAGTTTTCCTTGTTTATTTACCTTTTGCATATTCTCATAGGATAAACAAAATGCATTGTGATTTATTATGTAATGCTAATGGTAAATAAATTACAATTACAATTACAATTACAATTACAATATACCTTTGAACTGATGTTCATCACTCAGTATCCCGGAGGTCGAGTAGATTCTTCAAATGATTTTTCTGAAGAACAAAATTGGTTTTTAGTTGAGTAATATTCTCAATATATCAACAATTCTTGATGTTTGAAGAGGAAATGTATTCCAAAACGTAACACTGGTGACATCAAACAATATCAAAGGCATAATTTGTTTTCCGAATTACCATACTATAGATACTGAAATAAAAATTGGTGATGCCCAGTTTGTGCTTTATTAGTCTGAGGTTTATAAAATCACCACATGAAGTTATCCTGAAGTACTATTTATTTCTGCTGAAAAATTAATGTCCCTTGGATTAGTAACAGATTAACAAGTGAGGAACGTAGTTTTTGAAAGGTATTAGATTAATATAAAGGTCAGATAATTTATACGACGTTATAAAAGCAGATGATAATTTATCATTGCTCATGTAAGATGGAAGTTGAGGCCATGGCACCATATCATGAGCATATTTTTATATTGAAACTATCATTGGGCACCAATGATGTGTATACGACGCTATGAAAGTTCAGAGAACTGAAGATTTTTCGTACAAACTACGTACTTAGCCCGTACCTAGTTTATTGGCAAAAATAAAGACAGTAGAGTGAGCTAGGTACGTAGTTTATGAAAAAAAAAATCAAGACAGTCGAGTGTGCTTTTTTTACTTTCTTTTGTTTTTTGTTTCGTTTTCTATTGGCAAGTGATTATCTAGGAACTTGTAAATTTTTTAGTTTTTTCATCGTATCTCCCGAACTATTCAATTCAGAGAGAAATGTTAAAAGGATTTTTTGTAGATTCTATCAAAAGGAATAATTTTGGTTCCATAACATTTTCAGAAATTTTCAGTGGTTTTCGAGATATTTGGAATTATCTGAGAATGAAATTCTCAACACTTTTGTTCCATCTTCCAATCAACAAAATGAAAAAAAATTTCATGGTTCAGTTGATGTCGATGAGATTCATCTATCGATAATCTTTGTTTTTCAATATATCTTCATGGTACCATATGAGTCGTTCAATTTTTTTTTTTCATATTTTTCACTTTATTTCCTGTACTATTAGGTTCACAGAAAAAAATATGGGTAATAATTTGTAGGAAATGTTTCAGTGAATAACTTTGCACTCCTGATAATTTTCGATTTTTTCATTTGTTTTCGATATATATTGAATTGAAAGGATATCAAATTTTGATGTTTTGATTTTCATTTGTTTTTCCATTTTCCGATGGATGCACGAAAAAATGAAAAATTAATAATTTGTTGCATCATCAAAGAGGCATACGGTGCATTTTTCAAATTTGGATTTAGTCTATTGGTTCAGGAGATATGTCGTTTTGAAGAGAACCGTGTTTTTCGGAAAATCTCCTTGAAAAACCCACTTGGAATTTTCCGACCCTGCTCAATTTCAATAGGCTTCGTCTCTCCCTGATAGAGTTTTTTTTCACAAAAAATGAAATCGATCGGACCACTTTTGCGATTTGTAGAGTGGTTACAAGGAACTTCCGGTGAAAAATCGAAAAAACCCGGAAAAACCACCTTAGAGTTTTCTGATTTCCTTCATATTCTAATGACATAATATTGTTTTGAGTACAATAAGATGGCAAAATTTCAAGTCGATATGTCAAAGGGTTCCGGAGATATATCGATTTATGATTAACACAGAGTACAGACAGACAGACAGACAGACAGACCACACACAAAAACCAAAGTTGCTCAAAATTCGATGGGGATCATTTTCTCCAAAGTAACTATACCTCTATCTCGCTTAGTTTCCGAGATAGCATTTTTGACAAGGCCGTAGTATACTCCACTATGTATAGCGTCGTATAACAAGCGTAATCTGTGGATTAGTATTTTAGGTTCCTTCTCAAACGATGTGTGATCATCAAATCGTCATACAATATGCATTTAATATAATAGTTATTTAACCAACTAGTGTATTAATGAGGGCAATTAATGATCGAGATCACTAATCGCCTTATAATATACGAGTTGGTTACAAAATTTTTCCGTCGACTATATTTCTCCTTCTCCTGTAATGAAGAACACTTGGTTCGGGAATTCATCATTCATCCGAAAACTACTAAGACTCACCCAGTAGCCTTGTTACTGACATCAGTGACATTTGACATTTTTCGAAATGATCAACATAGAAAATAAATTCCTTGTGTTAGAAAACAGGGATTAAAATTGTTACAGAAACTTGGAAAAGCGAACCCTTTAACGGAAAATCTTCGATAAAATCCATATTTTCGATTTAAATGCAGATTCTGTTAGTCATAGCATAAACAATGAATGCACGCGGTGTATGTTTGGTTGCCTATAAAACAATCGTGCATTAATAGACAAATTGATCATTAATAGGGGTCATTAATGAACGATTTCATAAACATTAAACTTACTCGTTAATACGAGGTCGACGGAAAAATAATTTTATTGATCTCGACTGGAGTACTTTTGTATATTGATTCTCAGAATTGATTGTTTATCCAGATTAGATATATTGTGTAGCAGTTTCAGTTTCTTATCTGAACATAGTGTATATATTCGAGAGATTACCTATAGATGAATTCTTTCTGAAATTCGAGGTATTGTGAAGGCACTCTAAGTACCTACTTGGAAATATGGGAGGCATCCAGAAAGGTGAGTTATATCATTCATATTTTTAGTATACTTAGATTCCTCTGTTTGGTGTAGAACGCTGGATCCAAGAATGAATAAATTACTGATAACTTCAAGAATGACTCAAGGATCAATTCTTGAGCCACTTCTATTCATGATATCAGTGTTACTTGTTATATGATGATATAAATCCTTACAATGCGGCTTATATCCTCGCATATAATCCAATAGAGCTACATAAGAATAACGTTGAAGCGTCTAACAGAATCAATGATTCAAAATGACACTAAAACACAATCAATCACTTCCTGAACTCCAGTTCATTACTATGTATAGTTAAAGTACATAATCATGTACATTACTATGTCAGACATAAGGATTTATACAGCTATCCCACCAGAAATAACTCTCAGCTCATCAATTATTCTTGATTTCGTGTTAGTATTCTATGGAAATAATTGATCTGAATATAGATATGTGTATCAGAATCATTCAAGAAGATCACATACTCTGTATTCAAGTTTGCCATCAATGAGCTACTACTGAAGCAGAGTTTTTATACTTTATAGATGAATTTCTGTCAAGTGATCTAATAGTGAACGCCATATTGAATATTGTGCACCATAATCTGTTATATATAACTGTTAATGTTTAGATGTATGATAAATTGATATTCACATGACAGGGGGTGGAAAGAAATTCTGAATTGAAAAACCGAATCACGAATCTGAAAAGGAATGCAAATTTTCAATTTCAGAAATTTTATTTTCATATTCTCATTGTATATTCAATAGATGTAATTCAATGTTCGTCGTGGCATATGGTCTGGAAATTGGTTGATTTCTGTTGAGTAGTATTAATATTTTTATCAGATAGAGAAATGCGAATTCTCAATGTCTTTCTTTATACCTATGTATCGATTTGTTTCATATTCACATAATATATTTGAGAATATTTGTTCCGAATATAACTGTTAATATTTGTATATACATGTTGCTTTCATTTGTTCTGTTCAAATATCTCCACAATGAGATATTTAATTTGGACGAATACAGGGTAGTTCAAAATTCAGAATTATGAACCACCCTGTATTAAATATCAGTAGATAGTAAATCAAAAGTTAAGATAGGGACATGTATGCCGTTTTGACGAATAATGAATAGTTTCGACCCAAAAAAATCCTAAAGTTGAAATATCTCGATTTTGCACACCCTATATCTCTGTAATCATTCTTGCTAGACCCAAGTGTGATGCATTGATGAAATCAGCTCACAAAGGAGAATCCGAAAATGCAATGAAATACAGGGTGTCCCATAAGAAAAAGTATAACTCTGATACGTCACGCATTTTTAAGTCACCCTGTATAAAGCGAAATATTTTGGAAATGTGCTGCTCATGAGCCTAGATCATCACAACAATTTTTGTTCATCTATCTCAAACAGCAAAGGCGTTATCTCACTTTCCCATTTCAATGACTCACCCGGTATACATAGAAGATGCTGGAAAATAAAAGAATCTTAAAACTTCAACGCTCTGTGGCGAAGAATTGTCGGACAAATATTCATAGGAAAAAAAGTTATTTCGACCTGAAATCTTGATACTGAATTTTGAAACACCCTGTCTCTCTATCTTGTGTTGGCTAATGGGAAGCGCTCGCATAATTTGAAATATTTTCTCGTTTTTTGCTTCTATTTAAGAGTAAACGTGATTTAATAAAAATATTCATTTAGGAAAGAGGATAATGTTGTAATCAATTATCATTAAAAAATTAATACTGATTTTTTTATTGACTTCAAAATGAAATTTCAATATTACTCTTACAGGATCAGGAAGTCAAATGAATACAAAATTGAAATTATATATTTTTATTCAAATTTCACAATATATTGTACAGGGTGAGCGAAGCACAATGTCTCAGAACTCAGAAGGAAAAGAAAAACGATAGGAAAAATTTGAAAAGAGGTTCTTGAATGGTATTGATGAGTGCATTTTGAGCATAATTTCCATAGGTTCCCATTCCTCCATTAGGTCACTCATTAATTGTCATTACTATACCCACTGTTGGAAATTGATCGAACTACTTATTCTTTCATGTTTGAAATTTTTAGGTCTCTCCTTTTTACTTTTTGTCTCAGTGTGTTCACTTTTCTCCTCGATACAATATCCTTCTCTAATGAAACAGTTTGAGTTTCTTTATTGATCAACTTCGAAACTTGGAAGCTGGAAGTGGTAGGCAAGTCAAAGTCAATAACATGGGAAACTTCTTCCTTTGGACCCAAGTTATGAACGTCCACAGATGCATCCTGAACACAAATCACTAGCTAGTTTTTTTTATTTTAAATAGGTGCAAACATACTTCTTTTTCATTATTAATCAACTAGGTACCTATGAGTTTTCTTATTTTCCTAGGGAAATCAGCATTTTTTTATAACAAATGCTGAGGAAATGAAAATATACTGGGTACAGCATCTGCTTTCAAAAACCTAGCAGTACCTGGTTTGCCTGAATAATCTGTTGGCAGGAAATGCTCCCCACAAAGCTTGCTGCTTTTAGTTGGAGTCCAATTCTCACTAGGAACTGCCTTCATCCATAATTCGAGAATGTCTGGTCTTTTGAATGGAAAACTGCAATAAATAATATTACTCAATATCAATATGGAAGTATTTAACTTTGACAAATAAAATAGGTAAAGTTTTTGAACATATTCTGAGACTGGACATTGTAAACCTAACTGATGATCATTTCATGAACTATATTTTTCAAAAATCTGAGAACAATATTCAACTTACCCATGGAATGCTAATTTCCTTTTGTTTTGTTCATTCTTCTTGCATCCAAAGGCGACACCAATGTCGGCTAAATGAAAAAAGAATCTAGTCAGCTCTGGCCCTCTCCAGGCGACACAATAAATCACCATTGTTTATCAATACTTATCACAAACCTTCTCAACAATCAGTTCAGTGTTCACAACAACAAATTCAGTCCTTTTGTTACAACAAAACACGCCAAATGAATAGATATTTCACCTCGTATTTCACATGAACTAAGACAATGAACTTATGTCTTCACTTTCTTGACAGATGACAGAAAAAAATGTATTGAGTTCATTGTGTTCCAACCATATACCTACTAAATATTATTATATACGGATAACAAGGATCTCCAAGTGAAGCTAAAAAATAAAATAAATGACAGTCTGGGAGCGCAGCTGTATTACAGCGCATGCGCCATATAAAAATAAGAAAAGACATCAGTTTGCAAAATTCCTTTTGATGAAGCAAACAGCTTTAATTCGCTGTTTTGGTACGAGTTTGCTGAAGTTTTTTATTGTCTCAGAATACTTCCAATAATGGCCAACAAGTGCAAGACATTATAAACATACAAATACAAATGTACAGCTTCCCAACAGATGCAAAATTATACGAAGTGTGGCAGAACATTATGAAAATTGGGAAGCCCATTTACAAATATATGTGCCTCTCTGTAGCAGATACTTATTCTCAGAAACAGATCAGGAAGGTAATTTCTTCCATTTTGAGAAAAATATCTTTACAGTGTTCTATGTAATGTGCTTTTCTTTTAAGTTTCTGTGATGCAGATTAAATACCTTCACAGAATTCACCAATTACAATGCATCAAAATGTAAAACCTGTGATCAATGGATATGAATGGGAAAGAGGAAGGTCACATCCATCAAAAACTAGAATATGTCTCTAATCCTTCTTCAGCTAAATCAACCAAATCTAATGCAACTTCCACCAGGACTGATCTTGTGAAAGTGCCTATGATGTTTCCATAGAAAAGACAAGTGCAATTTCAGTAGCCCATCTAATGAATTTTTCTTTCACTTTTTCTGTAATAATAAAAAATTCAATTTTGCTTTATTTCAACATATGAACCAGAATATGATTAACACTGTGAATAATTTAAAGCTTCTAATTCTATACAAGGAATAAGAATAAAATGATTATGAAATATCTCCATTATTCTCCATCTCAAGACCTTGCTCAAGTGTGATTCTGACAGTAATGAAATCTTTGCAAATGTTGTTCTTCCTGCTTCATTGTAGAAATATATGTAGGGCAGTTGATTTGTTATCTGGAAAACAAATATCAGTTACCTATTTATGGAAGTTAGATAATATATAAGACTTACAATTTACCAAGAATTCAGAATTATTCTTTGTCACCAACAGCATGATTAATTTTGTAGGAAATGCAACAGATTCTTCAATCTTTGTCTTCCTTTGATTGTAAAAAAGCTAGTTACATCACATCTATACCTGACTTTCTTCACCACTTGCTTGGGTGTGAGCTTCACAACTGAATTTTTCCAGTTCTGCAGTTCTTTATGACTACCTAAAAATGTGATTGAAATTTCAGTAAGCAAAAGGATCAATGAAGCATAATTGACTTCATGAGGCTTCAGCATCCACAAACCAAGAGTTTCAAATCAGCAGAAGTTTGTACAACCATCAGCTCAAAGATCTCAAGTTTCTGTATACTTTTCACTTCAACAAATTAACATTATTTCTTGCTTTGTATACCTGTTTGTCTTCCACCATCGGCCGATTTCCAAAAGCACTCAAATCGCTGAAATTTCGAAATAAAAATGATTGGAATCAAATGTGGAATGTGGCTCTCATTGTTTTCCCCATTCCACTGACAGCTTTGACATCAATATCAATGCTTTGATGTACTTTTTCTGCTATCAGAAACATTTTCGCGGAGGAATATTATTATCAGAGGCATCGGAAAAAAACTTCAACATATATAAATAAAATGTAGATGAAATTCATCATCCATTTTGACTCGTGAATTTGACAAATTTCGCGCATGCGCAAATAGGTGGCAAATAGGTACTTGCACCCGCAGACTGTCATTTGTTTCTCAAAACTGGCTTCACTTTTGACCATGGAAACATAGGATGTTATCCGTATATATTTAGTAGGTATATGGTTCCAACCTACTTGGAGTGTTAGATAAATGTTCAAATACACCAACAAAGATTTATTTTATCATAATCTATCATCATTATAATAACAACATCGAACGGTTTTTTTGTTTTAGTTATGGTAGTTCTTTTGCAATTAGCTGCATTTGGATATAGTCAGCACTGTGAGTACTTGGGAAATACTATCACTTGCCAAAAGATACAACAAGAAGAATTCCTCAACAGAATACTGTCACTAGCAGCGACCTATCCGGAAGAATACATCGAAACCATTGAAATATCGAATTCAAATTTCTCCAGAATCGACTATCTTCCTAATCCCTCAAAATCCATACGTCAATTCAGAGTGCAAACTTTGATCATCAAACATTCGAACATCACTTACATTGCAGATGATGCTCTCAATGAATATACAACATTAGGGTCACTGATACTTCGTGATAACCAGATAGAAAATACTTCGTTCGCAACAGTTTTTGGATCGCAATTAAGTATTTTAGATCTGGATCGGAACAGTATCAAGATATTGGATTTGGACAATCTCAAGGACATTCATTATTCTAGTGTTTATCTTCAAGAAAATAATATCGAATACATCAAACCGTCATCTCAACATATAACATTCTTTTCCCTGGATTTGAGCTATAACAATATTCAAGAATTCAACGAAACATATCTTAATTGTTTCTCAATTTCGATAGATTTAAGTTATAATCGTCTGAATACTTTATATCTTATAAGTAAATTATCTTCTAGACAGAAAGATAGGGTTGATATTAAAAGGAATAACGTTTTTTCGGTTGGAGACAGTGGATTCACTTGTAATGAACTATATACTACATCTCTTATCAATGCTACAATGTCTATTGAGAACGTTCTGAGTTTGCATAGTTCGAACATAGGAATTCTGAATAGATCAGTTTGGGATATATCTAAATTTGAGATTGGTAGTAGTTATAGTAGTAGTTATGGACAGTTAGATTTATCAAATGCGTCAATTTCAAATATATCGCAGTACTTCTTCGATAACAGGGATGAACCTATCGGTTTATTGAACTTGAGTCACAATAACATCAATTCATTGGAGCACGGAATTTTCAGAAACTTAATAATTCGGTCTCTAGACTTATCCTTTTCCGGAATTAAAAATGTGTCTGGTAACTCTTTCGAGGGTCTTCGTGATTTCAAAAACTTGAAATTGGCAGGAAATCAAATGGAAACCATTCAAAATATATGTAAAAGTGCAACCGAGCTCACATCTATTGATCTATCATTCAATAAATTGCAGTCAATTGATTTGGACACATTTGCCAGCTGTACTCAGTTGAATACCCTCAACATTTCAAACTCTGTTATGAATTTCATTGAACCGGGAATTCTCAGCTCATTGATTAGTCTCAGAGTCATCGATTTGAGTTCAAGTAATATCACATATTTGAAAGCATTCACATTTTCGAACTCTTCCACCATTAAACAAATCGATTTGTCCAATAACAATTTGAAAATCTTAGAAAACAATGTATTTTATAATTTGTCTGTTGAAACTCTGAAGCTGAGTAACTCTCATATCTACTACATTTCTGGTAAAGCTTTTAATTATTTGTATAATTTGCGGTTACTAGATTTGTCTGGTTGTCGCCTCACAAATATAGAAGAGGACTCATTCTTCAATCTACCTCTTATCAGAGAAATAGATCTTAGTAATAATTATTTGATTTCGATACCGACTCATGCATTCAGAAATATGAAAGGTCTTTCACTGAACTTAAGTAGGAACAGAATAGAATCTCTGAACGATAATGCGTTCGAGAACGTAGAACTCAATTATTTAGATCTGAGTTCGAACAGGTTGAGTGGAATCAACACTAACTCTGTCACTAACACTAGTATCCAGGAACTTTCACTACTCGACAACAATATATCTGCATCCATTTCAATCGATGACTCTGTCAATCTCACTTCTCTCTCAGTTAGTTTGAATGGTGTCTTTGAGCACCGATCTATTTCCAGTATATATTTGAAAAAACTGTATCTAGTAGAATCTTCTTTGGAGTTATTGAAAAATGACTGCTTTGTGGAATTTCCTTATCTGGAAGTACTGTACTTCAACAAATCTCGGATAGAAACGTTAGAACTAGGAGCTTTGCATGGTCTTTACTCATTGGAACACTTAGACGCTCCCACTCTGTTCAATAATAGTAAAATTCTGAGAAACGGTACTTTATCAGACTTATTCAGATTGAAATCATTGCATATAGAAACACCAATGTTGAGTAGCTTAGAGCGAGGAAGTTTGTCAGGTCTGCAAAGTTTAGAAATTTTGAACATAACTGGTACTGGTATACAAACACTGCCTTCTGGTATTTTCAATGATTTGAAGAATTTGCGAATTTTGGATTTATCAAATAACTCACTGATAAATCTAGACTCAAATACTTTTTTCGAAAACCTCACCCAATTGACTAATCTCTATCTTCAGCACAATCGTCTGAGTAGCATGCCACAAAAACTACTTATTAATTTACATAAACTTGTAATTTTGCGATTGGATGGTAACGCACTGAACGGATTTGTAGCAGGGGGCTTCGATGGCTTAGAGGCTCTAGTAAGTCTTAATCTTTCCCAGAATACTAATTTATTTCGGCAGAATGGTGCTTATAGTGCTGTTGCCTTGAGAACTTTAAAAAATCTGCAAATAATGAATATTGCTAATACTTATATCGATGAGAGAATTCTGGATTATAGCACGCTTCGAATTTCTTTTCCAAAATTGAAATCGATAAGCATTAACAGCAATAGGTTTCCTTGTACTGGTTTGTTGAAAATGTTGGAGTACTTTGAAGATAGAAGTATAACTTATACACCTGAGAACCCCACATACGATACTCCTAATTTGAATGGCATTGCATGTATAGCTCAGTAAAACAGTAACTAGGAAAACCTTCTTGTGGAAGGAATTCAATCTGTTTCTCTGCAATTCATACCGGTCTGACACGAATAATTTTTCGATAGAGAATCGATTCATAGGCGTCGTTGCCCCAGCTACTCAACTATAGCACGCGTGTGACATATGACGTACGATTTCTCTATAGGAAAATCATTCTTGGCAGACGTGTTTATTTCTGAGGATGCTGAATCCGTATTTGAGGTTCAATAACAAAATTTCTTGGATTGTTCCGAGATATTACCAAACAACACGGATTTTCCTCACACAGATCCATTGAATCAAATCTTGTGCTATACACTGATTATATTTTGAGTGCAATGGACAACCAGACTCAGGTTGACTCTGTGTACACCAATTTCAGTAAGGCATTTGACAAAATTGATCACAATATTCTAATTCATAAATTATCTGAAATCGGGGTACACGGGGACCTTCTGAGATGGCTTTCTTCATATTTATTCAATAGAAAACAAACGGTTGTTGTCAATGGCCCTAGTTCTAAATCATTCACTTTTACATCTGGTGTTCCCCAGGGATCACATTTGGGGCCCCTGTTGTTCATTATTTTTATGAATGATGTCTGCTGATGACATCAAAATTTATGCCAGTATTATAATTGTATATCTGATTGCAATCTATCATAGGAGGATTTGAATAGATTTCATAATTACTGCATCAAAAATAAACTTTTACTAAACCTGAACAAATGTTGTCATATTACTTTCACTATAGAAATATCACCACCTCCTCATATGATTACAACTTTAACAGTGTTACTCTCAATACAGTGAAAGAGATTAAAGACTTAGAGGTAATTTTTGATACGAAATTCAATTTCAATCAGCATTTAGACCGTTTAATTACTCCTTGTAACATAATGCTAGGTTTTATTATCAGATGTTGCAAGTATTTCAAGTCCACAGCAGCTTTAAAATCATTATATTTCGTGTTAGTACACAGCAAACTGAACATTGCATCAGTTATTTGGAATCCACACTATAACCTACATAAAAACAGAATCGAAGGAATACAAAATCGTTTTCTAAGATTTCTCAACTACAAGGCAAATATGCAGATAATCTCTCTTCAAGAGATTTAAGAACGACATTCAGTTCATATCTGAGGAAAAACTCTAGGGTTAGGAGAGATATGATTTTTCTTTTCAAAATATTGAATAATCTCGTTGATTCTCCAGCACTGGTATCCAAAGTATGTTTCACAACTCCCTCCCGAAACTTGAGGAAGTATCAACTCTTCAGTGAACCATTTTGCTGAACTAATTCTCGTCAAAATTCCCCCCTACACAGAATGTTCAGCTTTTATAACAGTTTATTTTTTCATGTGGACATATTTCATTTATCTATGTATGGTTACAAAACTGCGATACGTAGCATTCTGTCATAGTTCTTGTTATAGATGCCATTTATCTCATTTCAAATATTCATTAAGTATCTACAAGTAGCTTGGCATATGTTTTTTCGGTATTATAAGGATTTTTAACATAGGATCCTAGGTTAGATTTGAACTTAGTTGAAATCTGTACTAAGTATTTTGTGAATGCATTATCTGGGCTGTGCCTGTTTGCATTCCTACAAATAAATAAATAAATGAATAAATAAATATATAAAGGAAACTTTTCGCACTTTTTCAACTATTGTGTATGCCAATAAGAATTTCACAAATGTCAGGTTATATTTCTGATGCTCATACTATATGATATTCTGTGATTTTGATTATTATTATAATAAAAAATTTGAAATTTATTTTTATTTGAAACACGTTAACTTTCCATCTGATACTGAGCATCGACTTTGCTACAGTCCAAAAGCTGGCTGCAGATTTCTACCGTCATCTGATAACGAAATGATTTCAGCAACGACTTGACATAAAAATATGAAATTTGGTACACGGGAGTAATCAGTAGTGCCGGATTTGAAAATAATATTTGCAACGTTGCCAGATTTACAGTTTTTCCTATGGAGCCCTCAACTTTATTTTTTCGAATGTAATGCTATATACATATGTATATATTCGGCGCATTCGATTCGTCATATTCGAATTACTATGTCCCCATAATATCAAATTTTAATTCTCCTAATTTTTCTCAATATGGAAGTTCAACATATCGTTAAAAAATATCACCAAATTTCAATATCTCGAGAAATTTTCCTTTTTAAATTTTAGTTAATACCATAAATTTAGGTACATTTTTTCAACTGAATACTGAAACAAACCAAACCCTATTGATTATGTTTGAATCTTGAATCGAATTTTAGTCCTGAAAATTCGTACGTTATGTACTTTCTCAACCGATAATAACAGAACTCTAATAAATATTGTTAGAATCAAGATGTATAAAGTGGCCTTTGGAAATAGCTAATCAACTTTTATTGTTTTTGTTGTCAACCATCTGTTGATTATCAAGATAAAATGGTTTTCTTGTTAAGTGAAGAAGTTTAAATAAATACTTAGGAAGATTTCGTGAAAATAACATGTAAATTTGACAACGTTGTAAATGACGCTACGATTTCTCGAAATATTGAAATTTGGTGATATTTTTTAACGAAATGTTGAATTGCAATATTAACAAAAATTAGGCGAATTAAAATATGATATTATAGGGTCATAGTAATTTGAACATTACAAATCGAATGCGCTGAAGATATATATAGGATTACATTTGAAAAAATAAAGTTGAGGGATCCATAGGAAAAACTGTGAATCTGGCAACGTTGCAAATATTATTTTTAGATCCGGCACTACTAGGTCACATTTGTGATCTCTCCTTTTACAAATTCAATCCACAGTGATGCATCTTTCCCAAAAAAAAATTATGACATGTGTTACTTCTTATCAATTACCTGAGAAAAATGTTATTTTCCTTGAGATTGTCACTGAATGAAATATTTGGGTTGATTTTAGAATGCCGCTGGCAGATTGAAAAACTACTCCACGAAGATAACCAATTATAACAAACAGTTGCCCATTCAATACACATTCCGAAATGATATAACATATCCGATATGAAAATTAATTCTGACCTAAATGCCATTTTTGACATACATCTCTTACGCACACGAATTGATTTTGAACGAGTCCAAAACGATTATGGTGGTATTTGGAAACAATCGCAAGAATGTAATTGACTATCCAAATCTCAATATATGTATCAATGGTAAATCGCTCAATCCAGTGTAGACACATGTAAAAACCTCGGCCTGCATATGGATTCTGACATGAGATTTTCGAATCATGTTAATAATCTTTTGCAGAAATCTTACTGTAAACTTCGGACCCTATATATACATAGAGACTTATTGAGTAAAGATGTCAAACTCAAATTATGTGATACCTTAATTCTAAGCATTCTTTCCTATTGTGATATGATTTCGGCAATAAAAAAAGTCTCCAGAAAATACAAAATTGCTGTGTTAGATTTTCACTCAACCTGCGAAAATTCGACCATATCTCTCTTGCCTTCGAGGAGACGAAATGGCTGTCTCTCGAAAATCGCTTCCAATTGCATTTGGCATGTTTAATTTATAAGCTGAATAAAAATCATGCACCCTTATATCTTTTGAAAAAGCTGAGTAAAGGTTGTCAAACTCATACCTGTCCGACACGATCGAAAGATCTGTACACCGTCCCCAGGCACAGATCTGCACTTTATGAAAGTTCATTTAGTTACAATGCAGCCAAGCTGTATAACAGATTGCCCGCGAATATTAAGGCTGCAGCAGGTTTGGCTAGCTTCAGAGAGCAGGTCAGGTCTGTTTTGATGGATTCTCCCATATGAATGATGTGAATGGTTACATTTCCTATCATGAATTGATGACTTATTATTTTTGTATTCCTGTATTTGTACTATCAATGTAGCTTGAATACCCTCTAATAACTCGCTGAATATTTAGCTGTAATGGAGTGGTTATGTGGAAGAGCAGCTCCGCTGAACATCGCCACTCCTTCTCAACTTGTACATGTTGACATTTTGATGAATGAATAATGAAGCCGCATTATTATTATTATTATTATTATTATTATTATTATTATTATTATTATTATTATTATTATTATTATATGAGAATATCCGGAACAGCCTTTTTGTTATTAATTTTTTTCAAATGGGTCGCGTTTTTCAGAAATATTTGAATAACTATCGAACCATCAACAGTTTGATAACCACATATACCGTTAATTTGATTGCAAATGACCCTTCCTACCACCCCACTTCTTCTGATACATGACTTATGGGACACCCTGTATAATACGTTGTTGGTTGAAGAAGTGACATATACTCGTGAGTAGATGATACAGTTATGTTCAATAATTGGCGTTGTGAGAACGATCCTACAACAATATGACAATACTATGGAAACATCTTCATTTGAGATGGAATAAAATTGTTCTATTCATCATACACAGTAAAGGATGAAACTCTGCATGTTGGGGGCATCTCATAGCACGAGTACGTTCCAATCAAACGGAACATTCCATTCTTCTCAGAATATAAAAAAGTTGAATATCGTATCTTTGAAAAAGAGCCAAATAATGTGTGAATTTCTTATAATTCATCAGTTCTTTATCATTTAATCGAGTTCCCAGAAAGGTTGAAAATAAAAACGAGATTTTCTAACATTTAATACATCACCTATTCATATGAAAGTTCCTTTTCCCAAGCAACTAGTAGTGATAGTTGCTGATACAGTGTGCACACCGATGAAGTTGATGTATCTTCATTTGCCTGGTTGTACTTGTTACATACCCTTCAGAGTCATCCTATATGATCAGTGCGATTGTATCTGCCCCAACTGTATGCATGTCAGAAGCTAGAATGCAGAGTCACAGGGTGAACATATAGTCGAGATCAAAGTTCCTTTTTCTTGATATTCGATATCGTCTTTTATGGTCTTCGCGATCTACTCTCTTCCAATAATATCCATGTTTGAATAGAGAGATACAGATTACAGAGTGCACAACGATGAAGTTGATGTATCTTCATTTGCCTGTTGTACTCGTTATATACCCTTCAAAGTTGTCTCATAATCATAATCTCATATGGTCAGTACGATCGTATCTGCTCCAACTGTATGCATGTCAAATGCTAGAATGCAGAGTCACAGTGTAAAAATAGTCGAAGTTTCTTGTTTCGACTGCTGTGTGCGTTATACCAGCTCCGATGTCGACTCATTATGGTCTTTGTCAAATAAGTGAGATGATAGAACACAGAGATAGAGTGTGCAGACCGATGAAGTCGAAGTATCTCCATTTGCCTGTTGTACTCGTTATATACCCTTCAAAGTCGTCTTATAATTAATAATGGTCAGTGCGATCATTCGATTGCATTCGTTCAAAACCAATTCAATTTAATTCCTTATTGGGAAAACAATTACCTAATACCATTCCCTCTTGAAGCTACTGATCCTACAATACTAATCACATTATTTTTCCATATATTATTATGTCCTAATGAAACAGAGTATCATACATATACAGGGTATCTGATTTGACTCGTCATATTCACTAACGGCTTATACGATCAAAAATATAAAAAAATATCTGACTTATTTTCAAGAGAAAATTGAATCAGTGTTGATCTTTTCCTGACATAATAAACCATTAGGGAGGAAATATCCTAAGACAAAATATCCTGAGATTGAATATCCGATCGAAGACCAAATACCCCATCACAAAATATCTCATTCAAAGAAATGTTTTTTTCCTGACAGATATGAAGAGTTTCATCCGAATAAACTATGTGAAAAACTTCACAAACTACACAAACGATGAGATTTATAAAAATTCTTGTAAACAGGATGGTCCTGAAGATGGACATCTTGTATTTATCCGAAACATATCCCTGGTTCGATTTCTCACATTGAAAGTTGTGGAGATAACTTCGTGTTGAAATTTGTCACGTCCCTCATCCCTGGAGTCGTAGAAAAAAATGAAAATTGCTTCCAAAACACTTGATCGTTTGATGTTGGTCAATGCGAGTTTTTTTCTGGACTTGGTTATTTCTCTCGAACCGTTATGGACAGTGGCGATTCACGATATATACTTACAACAATTGAAAATGAAGCAAAACACTGGTTCAACCTGAAAATAATGCAACAAATCATGGAATTATGAAGAATTCAATGATGTTCGTGAAAAATAAAAGGTAATCAATTGTTAAATGAAAAACTTCAAATTAACAAATTAGTTCAACTAAAAGAGGAAAAACTTGATTGATCAAAATATTCAGTAAATTGTAATCTATTATCGCGACAATTGTTTCAGTTGAGATTGACTTTTTTTAGAAACTGATCCAATGAACACGGCCACACAATATACAGAATGTTTGAAAATAGACTTGAATATGACATTCCATATTAGATTGAATGAACTATCAACTATAGATAGATAGATAGATAGATAGATAGATAGATAGATAGATAGATAGATAGATAGATAGATAGATAGATAGATAGATAGAAAACACAAAAAGAAAACATATGTGTATAAATGAAATGAAATGATTTGACACCGGATGGATACAAATAAACAATTGGGAATAATTCCTTATACTTCAAATTCGCGTCTAAGTGTGTTACTTAATTACAAGTACTCCTGAATATAAACGAACGAACTGTATCATCCCTTTTACCAATGATCAACGTGGTTCTTCCTCAATGAAGGTAAGATAACTCATTAATTTCATTGCATTCCATTTCGATGTTATCAGCAGTTGTATCGTAAGTGAATGTAACGAAGAGGTGTTTACATGAAAATTAAGGAATTAGATGAACTAAAAATGGGTAGATAACTAACTGTATTGGAGACATTGACGTGGTATAACGAAATTTTGCATGTGATTTGAGATAAAACCATTACGATAATCGATATATAATTAATTTTTTTCTGTGACGGGAAAAAAGTTTGGCATTTCATCTCTGTTGACAGGTTATAAAATGTCACTTTTCATAAATTACTTTTTTCCCATGGGAAAAAAGTGAGTACTTTTTTCCTGGATATATATTACATATATATACACTGTTGTTGGCTTTTGTTGTGCTATAGGTCCGAAAAATGAGTCAATAATACCGCCTCCGAGAAAGAACTGCAAGTCCTTTTAACTTCCATTCGACTTCGCGGTTACGTATATTACTAAACAACCACTAAATCCGCAAGTTTTTGGAATCAAATCACAGAATTAGACTGACAGAAGTGACATTAGATATTTGATTACTTCAAAAGAATGATAGAGATGCCTACAACGCAGGTGTCCCTAATGTTAAAAACTTGAAATTTCACGTCGATAATTTTCAGATTTCAAAATAACGTAATATCTTCTCAATATTGATTCGCCCTTTCTTCTGTCACAGAAAAAAATAGGAGCTAAATCCTACTACTTTTTACTATAAAATTCCCTTAATTGATTCGGAAATGTGAGTGCTCTCAGATCGAGTATGGATTTAATTGACAAAACATGAAATGTTTTAATCATGATTATGTCAGATAAGGTTAGAGATTGTTGTTTCTCTCAGTATTCTTGTATCTTCTGAAATTACCCAATTTTGACGAAAGAATCCTAATTGCCTACCCCAGAAGCCACCAGATAAAATGTTTCAATAGAATCGGATTATGATTACAAATCCCGTCCATCATATTGGATCCACCATCTTGAATTTTTCAATTTCCGAAAACCCCCCGGTGAAAATTTTTAGTAAAATCGGATCATAATTACCAAACTCGTCCGACATATGGTATATTAACCATCTCGAATTCTCAAATTTTGACAGAAGAATCATAATCGCCGATCCTGAAAACCACCCGATACAAATTTTGAATAGATTCGAAACATAATTACAAAACTTGTTTGCCATATTGTATCCGCCATCTTGAATTCATCAATAAAGACGAAAGATTCATAATCTCCGACCTCGAAAATTTCCAGATACCAATTTTGAATAGAATCTGATCATAATTACAAAACTCGTCCGCCATATTGGTTTCGCTATCTCAAATTTTCAAATTTTGACGAAATTTTATCTGATGGCACTTAGAACATTTCAACATTCAACCAAGGGAAATAAGGTAAGAATTGGTGTTCTTCTTAAATTTCTGGAGGTTTTATGCCTCGGGGAACCCCTACCTTGGCAATGTGTTCCAGAGCCTCGCTGTTCGTTGGATGAACGAGTCTTTGGAAAGAGATGATCTGCAGGTCTCCGAAGTGACCACGAAGGGGTGCGAATCCTCAACTCGACGGGTTAATCTCGCAAGGACTGCCAAGGGAAGTACAATTGTTGATATTTCAGAAAAGCATCGTCCATGAAAATATCTATAAAATAGTGCCAGATCGCCAACTTTTCTACGGTGTTCCAGAGAAGTGAGTGAGTTTGTGAGTGAGGCATCACCCACGAGACGAATTGCCCTTTTTTGGACAGAATCCAACAGTTTCAGGGTATGTTTGGGTGCCGCACTCCAAATATGGGAACAGTATTCCAGGACAGGACGGATCTGTGCCTTGTAGATCATAAGATGACTGGAAGTAAAATAGCTCCTGGCCCGAAACAGATAACCAAGTTTTTGGGATGCACTTTTAGCAATTGATCTCACGTGATTTTCCCAAGAAGGCTTATTGCTGATAGTAATACCAAGCATCGGAATGGATGTCTTCAAAGGTATGGTTACTCCAGACATGCTTATGTTTGGCACAGTGAGATCGGCTTTTCTAGAGAAAAGGCATGCTTTGTTTGCATTGGAATCAACCAAGTTATTGGATCCCCACGCGAGAATTGTTGCCAAGTCCATATTTATGTTGTCAACATTTCTTCCTCGTTCGTTTCTGATTTGCCTGGCTGGTATTGGAGCCCTGGAAGAGAAGGCGGTATGGAATGTACTATCATCCGCGGAGCAGTGTACTGGACATGAAGTTGCTTTCAACAAATCGTTGATATGGAGTAGAAATAGTGTTGGTATTGGTACTAAAATTGATCCTTGCGGAACACCAGCATTTATGGTAAGAGAGTCAGATGAAACTCCGTCGACCACTACATGGAGAGACCTGTATGAGAGAAAACTAGCTAGCGGAAATAACGATTTTAGTTCCAGAAGTATGACATTCATATTTTCGTTTCGAGAGAAAGCATCAAACAAGAGGATACAGGTGAGAAAAAAATAAAAATAATAATCTTTTCAAATGGTAAGGTGACGACCACGATGCAACTTTACGCCTATTCAATTATCACCCTGTAGCAATGTTATCTGAAATTACAGAAGTTTCATATTGCCACAACAAACTGTCAAGAGATTAGGCTAATCATCGGTGAAAACCGATTTCAAATTGGTGAGGAAATTCGTGAGGTATTCTACTTTGAATTCAGGCTATATTTTGGAGCACGTTATCAATGTTGACCAGATACTTGGTCGAGATAGTACCTTAATTGATAAGAATTTTGTATTAATATGCCCGTCAGAATTTGAAACGACTACGTATCTGACTTTCCTAAATTAATGTTCACGCTCTATGCACAAATTCGTTTGTCATGATTTTTGCTACAATTTAATCTATAGCGACCCCTCTTACTTGCAGTCTCTCAAAATTTCGTGTATAAATATATCGGATATCGAAAAGCAAATCATTACATCCAACACAGCTGTAACTTCAATAGGAAGTTATTATTATATCGATACCCTAGCAAACTTTTGTAAGTATCAAATAAGAAATGTAGTTGTGAAAGTTTTATCTAACGTTTCGTTCTTTTTGCAGTGAAAATGTTCAAGTTTTTCGTGATAGTTGCATCTGTTGGTAAGTTTTTCCATCTACTCGAATACTTGTCAACAGTACATTCGCCGACAAAAAAAAACGGTCAGGAAAAAATTGATCGCCCTGTAACTTTTTCAATTCGTGTCCGAGTCTGGTGAAATTTTGACCAAATCGTAATTTCATGTTTAGGGTTATCGGCATGAACTCTAGAGCCCTGGAAGAGCTGATGGCTTGATCATTATACAGGAAAAAACAAAATTTACTCTTCCACCCTCAACTCCCTAACGCCATGTGACTTTCATTTGTCAGCTGTCTTATTCCTCAAATCCTATTTCACTCATTACTACGTCTGGGGTTCCACAAGGTTTGAACCTAGGTCCCCTTTTATTTGCATTATTCATCAATGATTTAAATGACGAAATAGATTGTTAACGATTATTCTTTGCGGATGACTTGAAATTATTTTTTATAATACAAAACATTAATGATTGTGAAGCCCTGCAATTTGAAATAAATAAGGTTCAGCAATGGTGCGAGGCGAATAAGCTTTATTCAAATGCATCGAAATGTAAAAGCATCAGTTTCAGAAGATACGAATTTGTTCTTATCTTATTCAATCACAACGTAAATAACACAATCTTGTCTCGTTGTGAGTTGATAGAGAACCTTGGCATTCAATTCGATTGCAATTTAACATTTGGTCAACACATTTCGGTAAAAGAAATTGTAAATCTTTTTGGAATCTGAAAGCTCTATATATGTTCTTTGTATAATGCGTACGTTAGATCTAAATTGGAATATGGTTCTATTATATTATGGAATCCTGTCTATATAAGTAACAGGTTGATGGTTGAAAGAGTTCAGAGACGATTCCTTTTTTTCATTTCATGTTTTAAAATCGATTATCAATATCCCAAAAGAGGCGTACCATACCAAACTTCAATATCGCGTTTTGATTTTGAAAGTCTTGACGTTATAAGGAAGCGTGCTGGCATTATTTTTCTATACAAATTATTGCACTATCAAATTGAAGCAAGTAATATAGTGTCTCAATTGAAATTTTTTGTTCCAGATTCTAGAACTAGGTACACTAAGACGTTTCACTGTAATAGAGCCAGAACAAATTTATATCATCTGTGAAAACTTTCTGTTTACTGTGATATTCATCATGATACACACTGAAATATTTGTTTGATATAATGAATTTGTGGGTTCTGTTCAACAAAGTAATTTGTTTGAAATAACAACATATTTCTTGATAGTGATGTGTTGAATCAACAAAATATAATTTGGTCAAAATCAACTGAATTTTGTCGAATAGAAAAAAAACCTTTCGATTGGTTGCACAATGAAATGATTGTTGACTCAACAAAATATGATGTATTTAGTTTAATCTTTGTCAAAATTAATTTAATTTTGTCGAATCGACAAAATGCGTATGATTGATTGAACAATGAGATAATAGTTGGATCAACAAAATTTGTTTCATGTCAACTAAAAATGTTATTGAATGAAATTAAACTTTTGTTCAAGTAAGCAAATATTTCAATCAAATCATTTTGTCTCTTTAAATAGATTGCTTATTTAGAATGAACATATATTTTGTTAATTTCGCAAAATTGTGTTCAATTCAACAAAAAAAAATGACCAAAACTATTTTGTTGATGAAACAAAACTTTTTTTCCGTGTAGTGTGTCTTGCTTATGAAGATAAAAATAATATTGATATTATCTCTATTATTCTTAGTGGCCTTCTCCTCTGCTGGAGTGGTCAAACAGGGTCAAGAACACGTAGTCCTTGAACCGCACTCGGAGGGCAGCTTCAGCTTCAGCAGCTTCGAAGGCGGCTTCGACGGTAAGGGCGGCTTTCACGGTGGCTTCGAGGGCAACTACGAAGGCAAGGGCGGCAATGGGGCGGAGCTGTCGAGCTTGGCCCATACTTCAGCTGCGCAAGCAAAGAACGCGGTTAGGAGCCAGCACACAGCGGGCACTCAGGCTGCTTTTGGCGTCAAGAGCAGTCTGGCTAGTGCTGCCCTTGGGGTGAGTTTCCATCAAAATTGTTTGTTAATTTCTTCACTCTAAGAAATGGATGTGTTGAATCGACCAGTACACAGCTTCGCGGATGATAGTACCCTCCATACCGCTTTCTCTTCCAAGGCTCCAATACCAGCCAGGCAAATCAGAAATAAACGAGGGAGAAATGTTGACAACATTAATATGGACTTGGCAACAATTCTCGAATTGGGATCCAATAACTTGGTAGATTTCAATGCAAACAAAACAGAAGCATGCCTTTTCTCTAGAAAAGCTGATCTCACTGTGCCCAACATAAGCTTGTCATGAGTAACCATACATTTGAAGACATCCATTTCGATGCTTGATATTACTATCAGCAATAACCTTCCTTGGGAAAATCACGTGAGATCAATTGCTAGAAGTGCATCCCAAAAACTTGGTTTTCTGTTTCGGGCCAGGAGCTATTCCACTTCCAGTCAGCTGCATATGACCTATAAGGCACAGATCCGACCTGTCCTGGAATACTGTTTCCATATTTGGAGTGCAGCACCCAAACATACCCTGAAATTGTTGGATTCTGTCCAAAAATAGGCAATTCGTCTTGTGGGTGATGCCTCGCTCACAAACTCAGTCACTTCTCTGGAACTCCGAAAGAAAGTTGGCGATCCTGCTCTTGTTTTAGACCCGCGAGGTCATCTCAATAAACTAAAAAATATCAATATTATTTCAATATACGTGTTGTAATGACAAATCAGATGATTTGCCCCAAAATGTCACTGTTTTTGAGAATTTTCCTATCAGAGAGCCTAAAAGAAAAAATCAATAGCTTGTCAGTGACAATTGTCATTGAAAAAGGTTTGGTATATAGAAAAAATATCGACTTTCCACTTATCTTTAGACGTTTCGGGAACGAATCTGCTCCCGTTTTCAACTGGGAAGTGTCAAGAAAAATACGAATTTGCCATACAAAAATCCATTTTTTATGTTGAACGTGGAGCAGATTCGTTACCGGAACGTCCAAAGATGAGTGAAAAGTCGATATATTTTCTATATACCTTTATTTCTCTTCTCCAAACCTTTTTCAATACATGATCTGAGATAATGAACTTCTGAATTCCTTCACCACGATTTTAAATAGCCAATTCCAATATTCCAAATCATTTAGGTGGAAGTTTTGTCTGTATGCTATTTCATTAATCAATAGAAGAAACAATTTTCAAAAAAATCACTTTTTTCAAGAAACCTTTTACTATTTTTTCAAAAAACTTTTCTCTTTACTGATGAAGGTACTACGCTGAACAAATTCATATTCATTCATCATATTTTCATCCACACTCACTCACTCTTTGACATCATTGGAACACCGTAGAAAGGTCGGCGACCTTTCACTTTTCTATCGATACTTCCATGGGAAATGTTCTTCGGAAATCTCTGCTATCATCCCTTCACTAGCAATACCAATCAGACGAACTAGACAAGCCCAGTCAGCACATCCTTTCGTTGTCAACCTCGAAAGATGTCGAACAGCACTTTATCAAGACTCCTTCATCCATAGAACGGCTAGGCTCTGGAATTCATTGCCTGTGGAAGTATTCCCAACAACATATAATCTCCAAAAGTTCAAAAAAAATTCCAATACCTACCTCCTGTCCCTATCCTCCCTAGGAACGCACGATGTTCTTTGAACATTATAGGGATTCCCTTTCGTGCGCTCCAAGCGATAAAAAAAAAAAACTTCAAACCCTGCCATAATCTCCAAAAAATGGAATTCTTATTATTATTACTATTATTATTACTATTATACCTAACTACTCCATTTATCCTCAAATAACGTTAATTCATTCATGAACTTATTTCAGTAGAGAACTGTCCCAACAAAATCAACGTCCTGTTTTCGGAATGCATTCTTCAATGTTCTTTCCTTCCAGGCTGCCCATGCCGCTCAAGCAGCTCTCGTGGGCAGACAAGCTCTAGTAGGCAACCTCAAGAGGCAGCTGCAAGACGCCCAGGCGCAGCTGCAGGTCGAAATAGCGCAGTTTCAACAAACTCAAGCCGCCGCCCAAGCCGCTGAGGAGTCCTCTCACCAGGCCCAAGCGCAGGTGAACACGCTCTCGGCCGCCCTAGCAGCTGCCCAGGGCGGCGCTCAACACGCCTCGCAGGCAGCTGCGGAGGCCGCCCATGCTGCTGCAGCTCAACACTCCATGGTGGTGGAGGCGAAGCAGAGGCTGAACCAGATCGTCGCGCAGCTCCAGGGGTCGCTGGGCGAGCTACACGAGACCGAGGCTGCTGCGCAGAAGGCCGCGCAGTCCGCCCATCTGGCGCAGTCGAACGCAGCTGCAGCTGGCGCGGCCGCTGTGGCTGCTGGGTCAAAGGGCGGGTACTCGAGCTATGGGCATGGACGTAATCACTACTGATGGACCAGTTCATAGGATTCAATTTTTTTATAACTTTTTTGCATGATGATATTATTTTAATAAATTTTTTTTATACAAAATTTGTCGTTGTTCTTCTTTGTCCCTGTATATGCCACAAAATGTGCGAACTTTCACAAAAGTAGAATCATATCTATGGTCCCTTGACAGCAAATGTTGGCAGTTTATGTAACTACTTAAACTCAATAAGTATATAAGTGACTTTAATTTGCTGATGTTAAAAAAGTCATAGTCATTGAACCTGAATGAGCCAAAATATTCGATAGAAATATGGAATTCAAATTTGTATAAAATGCATGATCGAATTTCGAATTCCACATGCAACATATTTGTTCATTGAAATGAGTACTCTTATGACCCATTGAATGAAATTGTAGATCAACAGAATTTCAAAAATCCAAACTGTTTTCTGTTAAATATTCAGATTGATATTATATACATATATATTTCATATATTATATTTTTTATGTTTTGGTTCCCACGAGAGAACATCGTGAGAGCCAAGAGAAATGAGGTAGGAATTGGTGTTCTCCTTAAATTTCTGGAGGTTATATGCCTCGGGGAACACCTTCCTTGGCAATGTGTTCCAGAGCCTCGCTGTTCGTTGGATGAACGAGTCTTTGGAAAGAGATGTGCTGCAGGTCTCCAAAGTGACCACGAAGGGGTGCGAAGCCTCATCTCGACAGGTTAAAATCTCGCGGAGACTGCCAAGGGAGGAACAATTGTTGATATTTCAGAATAGCATCGTCCATGAAAATATCTATAAAATAGAACCAGATCGCCAACTTTTCTACGGTGTTTCAGAGAAATGAGTGAGTTTGTGAGCGAGGCATCACCCACGAGACAAATTGCCATTTTTTGGACAGAATCCAACAGTTTCAGGGTATGTTTGGGTGCTGCACTCCAAATATGGGAACAGTATTCCAGGACAGGTCGGATCTGTGCCTTATAGATCATAAACAGCTGACTGGAAGTGAAATATCTCCTGGCCCGAAACAGAAAACCAAGTTTTTGGGATGCACTTCTAGCAATTGATCTCACGTGATTTTCCCAAGGAAGCTTATTGCTGATAGTAATAACAAGCATCGACATGGATGTCATCAAAGGTATGCTTACTCCTGACAAGCTTTTGTTGGGCACAGTGAGATCTGCTTTCCTAGAGAAAAGGCATGCTTGTGTTTTGTTTGCATTGAAATCTACCAAGTTATTGGATCCCCATTCGAGAATTGTTGCCAAGTCCATATTTATGTTGTCAACATTTCTCCCTCGTTCATTTCTGATTTGCCTGGCTGGTATTGAAGCCTTGGAAGAAAGAGCGGTACAGAGGGTACTATTATCCGCGAAGCTGTGTACTGGACATGAACTTGCTTCCAACAAATCGTTGATATGGAGTAGAAATAGTGTTGGTGCTAGAATTGATCCTTGCGGAACACCAGCATTTATGATAAGAGAGTCAGATGGAACTCCGTCGACCACTATATCTGAAAGGGAATGCAAATTCTCAACTTCAGAAGTTCCATAGAAGAAATATATCTGTGGAAATACCTACTATCATGTTTTTGAATCGCACAATAGCAAAAAAACGTGTGTGCCTCACCCCATTTGGACATAATGCAACTAAATATTTGAAAAACAAGGCTATCAATCTGTTCGGAATATTGTCATGAAAGTGAATTTTCAAAATATTATTAGGATGTTCTTACTGACAAATGAAATTGTTTGCCCCAAAATGTCACTGCGCTTGAAATTTTCCTTCATTAGTAAAATTCAATGGATAGTCAGATTGTTTAGAATATTTTTGAAGAAGAGAAGTGTTAAAGGTGTTTGGAACAAGTATACAGGGTTACTGGTAATTCGATACATTTCTTTGGAGATATGATAGGGAAGGTGGTGAGGAGTAAATTGATGCCTAATATGCATTATACAAAAGTCGATAGTTTTTGAGATATTCAATTTTTTTATCTTTCTCCAAGAGGTACAGTTCAAGTGTTTAAAAGTAAGTTTCCCGAGAATCTGCTCTACATTTTTTCAATCTTTCAACTAAAATACATGATCAACACTATGGTCGTATATTTGGAATGACAAAATTACAGAAATAATTCAGATCATAGATGAATTGTAGATATAAAGTAGTATTTTTGTTTTTAGATTGTGGATTTTAACCACATTGTAGCGGTTATTGTTAGAAATGAAACTAAAAGTACTCGATACGGATTTGTTATTCCAAAAGAATAGTATAAAACACACTTGAAAAATGCCTATCAGTATTTGTTTTCGGCGGTTTTTGGTTTCGTTTATTTGCTCGAGACATCCTAATAGCATAACAAATGCTCATGACCTCCGTCATTGGGCCGAAGAAAACCCACTTTTAACAAGGAAATAGTAATTTTCCTAACAAGTGCGGAAAGTGATTCTTCGCGTCGTTCGTGTCAACGGCAGTCGCGTGCGGGAAAGACACTTTCCGCATGAGTTAGGAACAATATTTTTTCTTCAAGCGTAGGAAATTGATTGATTTGTTCAATTAATTATTCATTCATATAGGAACAACTAACAAGAGAAATATATTCTGTATCTACTGATTATTAGTGATAGCTATTGTGAACTTACAGTTTGACGCATTATGTATAGGTTCATTGCGGAAGCCAGCAGGCCCATAAGGTGTTTGGTCTCTAGGTTTCATACACGTCTAGGAAGCGAGCCAAAAATACTTCTTCCTCTTCGCGTGTATAGCTTCTCATACCTTTCTTAAGACTTCGTTGGCAATAACGCAACTGTATCGCATCCCTATAGCTGGAAGTTTTTGATCACATTGCGGCAATTCCACTGAATCGAAGATGACAGTAACGCTGTGTCTGTCACTTCGACAATTACGAACTCATTTGAGGTTTGATTGGCATGACAACAATAATCGTTTCCCATCAGATCAATCCAAATCCTCGATCATTATGTGTGGGGTGATATGGATGCGCTAGTTGATGGAACTCCTGTAAATACCCAGAAAGAACTTAGACAAATGATAATCAACGCTGCCCTGCACATACAAAATGATTTGAGAACTAGAATAACAAAAACGGAAATGAGATGACGCTGCCAAGCATGTTTTCGTAATAGAGGTCTCTTTTTGAACAGGATTTGTAAAAAGTGAATACTGATATTAGAAGTTTTTCAAGTAGGTTTTACTATTCATGTAAAATAACAAACCCGTATCAATTGTACCCATCAGTTAGATAGCTATCGCAGTAAGGAAGTTTTAACAAATTTTTGACAAATGTGGCTGAGAGATTTTTCTAAAAGTAATCGCTACAAAGTGTTGAAATTCACAATCAACAAACAAAAATACGACTATGTTTTTACAATCATTCATTATATGTATTATTTCTGGAATTTTCTCATTCCAAACATAAGACCATAGTGTTGATTATGTATTCTAGTTGAAAGGCTGGAAAAAATTTTTGAATCCTGAAAGTCTACCTTTTGGAGATAAACAGAAAAAGTTGAATATCTCGAAAACTATCGACTTTTGCATAATCCATATTAGGGTTAAATTCACTCCCTAACACCTCTTCTATCACATCGCCAAAGGAATGTATCGAATTACCAGTAACCCTGTATATATAATTTCACTAATCTTTGAACGTTTCGGGAACGAATCTGTTCCTGTTTTCAACATAACATTGCAAAATAATGCTCGATATTGATGTCTTTCTTTTTCTGTTTTCATACTTCTTAGTGATAAAAGGGAAAATGGTGTAAAGTACCACGGTTTATTTCTAATTGATCTTGAATTAACCATTTTCATACTCAAATTACTTTTTATTATCTACTCATATATTATAGAACGTTCAAGTTGAAGGCATTCAAAATTGAACTAAAAATAAATTGAACAAGGCCCTTTGATGAACACTGAAATAACGCCACTGGATGACGAAGACTGTCACCCGTTTTCCTAGTTTGGTCCTGATTTTTTACATTTCAGATAATTAAATTCTCTATGCTCCATAATTGAAAAAACCAATGAGCCAAAATTGAACTGATTCAATTGTTAACATTATTTATGATGAATTCAGACACGATTCTCATTTTTGATTGTCCTCCCAATATTGAAATGTCACACTATTAATACCCCATGTCCATGAAATTCACGCTCATTGAATAAAACGGAGCAGTCGTGTGTTTCAGATAATTCAAGAAACTGATATCTAGTTACCTCATCTGATCACTTCCATATAAATAAAGAATGAAAAATGTAAGGAATATAACATTTCACTGTATACTCTCCTCCTGTGTAGTTGCCATAATATCTAGAGTAACGAGATCTATCGAGATGTGGGCTTACTCAATTCATTTAGCTTTACTAGGTAAGATATGAGAATATTTCATCAAAAACCGACAGGAGCTTAGATTTTTTACTTTATTCATAAACACATTCAGATCAAAGATCAGCTGTCAGCTGTGATCGTGTTTTCTTTCTTCGTCATAGAACGTATCTAATGTTTCCATGTTTTCATTTCCTTCTTTTTCATCAAGTTCATACGTCTGAGAAGAACATCAAGAGAACACTCGAGGATCCATCTTTGTAGCTTCCAAGTTGTCACTCGTCATCAGTACGGTATTTGCGCAAGTCTATATGACTCAGATGGTTCCTAAGAGGACTGTGATGTATTCATCTACCCCCTAGAGTTGTGTTTAAACTCCACAAAGGCCTTCTCTGCATCATATGTATCGACTTGATATCATTTGTAAAAACTTCACAAACGATAAGATTTACACAAAATTCTCAAACACACGATATGTTTCGCTAACACAGTAGCTTCGTAAGGTGATATACTGGTACAAAACAATACAAATCAACCTGACGAAGCTACTGTGTTAGCGAAACATGTCGTGTGTTTTGTGGAAATCTTATCGTTTGTGAGGTTTTTAAATTTGCCATGGATTTCCATTAAGTAACGGCAATTCAAAAATTGATATCAGTTGATCTACGGTGGCATTTGTATACACAGAGCTTTCACAAATTACTCTCAATGCTTCATTCCCTGTTAAACAGTCGCTTGCTCTGCCCAACACCAAGACACTATCCAGGAACCATCGTCAGCTTCGCATGACCAACACTCTGGATCGAGTCATTTGCACACCAACGTGCTGGAACATCATCCTGCTGGCGATCATCACCTCGATGACATTGTCCACAACAATGGCGCAGAACTGAGTAGCATAGCGCATAATTCAGCTGTGCAAGCCGACCAAGCTGTGCAAACTCAACATGCAGCCGCCCATCAAGCTGCTTTTGGGGTCCAGAGTAGTTTAGCCAGTGCAGCTCTCGGGGTAAGGAAACACGACAAGTTTTTTTCGCAAAATACGGCTCCATTTCACTAGCTTCAGTTCAACAAACTTTATGAAGCGACCATTTGTTTCTCACTGGATTGTTTAGATATAGGATAGATAGGAACTAGGTTATAGTTACCAACTATTCCAGATTCTTTGGAATTTTCTCTCCTCGTTTCTATAAAATGAAAATATGAATATTATTTCAATATACGTGTAGTAAGGACAAATCAGATGATTTGCCCCAACATGTCACTGCGTTTAAAGAATTTTCCTATCAGAAGGCCGGGGACGCTGACAGGCAAGTCGAGGAGTCAGCTCGACAGAGTTCAACGACTGGCCAGCATATCCATAACAGGAGCAATGAGGACGGCGCCGACAAGGGCGTTGGAGACTCTGACCGGACTGCCACCTCTGAACCTGTATATAGAACATGAGGCGATGAAGGCCGCCGTTCGCTTACAAAGCTGTAACCAGTGGAGGAGCGAAGGAACATACGGACATTCTCGCCTCTGGAAGCAAATTACAGACGACTACCCCTCACTCAGTATGAAAGGGGACAGCATAACACCGATCATTCGATTCAGGAAAATGCCCCAAGTCAAAATTCCTACTAGGATAGACTGGGAACAGAATGGGCACTGCATGATACCCACCAAGGGCATCATCTGGTATACAGATGGCTCCAGGATGGAAGAATGCACAGGTGCTGGGGTCTATGGGCAGTCTCCAAGGGCAAATCACTGCTATACCCTTGGGAAACATGCCACGATTTTTCAGGCTGAAGTATTTGCAATACTTGCATGTGTTCGAGAGAATATCGAGAGGGGCTATCACAGCCAGCAAATCACTATATGCACTGACAGCCAGGCGGCGATCAAGGCGCTCACCTCGTATAGGGTGACCTCCGCCTTGGTGTCAGAGTGCATAGATAGCCTACAAAGGCTGTCAGCAACGAATAAGGTATGTCTTTTGTGGGTCCCTGGACACTCAGGGGTACCAGGTAACGAAATGGTCTGGCCAGAAAGGGGGCGAAAGGTTCAGTGATTGGCCCAGAGCCAATCTTAGGGGTCACTCGATCCTGGAGCAACTCCAAGATGAAGGAAATCCTGACGGAAAAGGTTCAGGACAGCTGGAGAAAGGCTCCTCGGATGAGGCAGTCCAAACTCCATATAGGAAACCCGTCACGAAGACAGACCAATGCCTTCTTGGCTTTGAACAGGAAGGAGCTGAAACTGGTGGTGGGCCTGCTGACAGGGCACTGCCACCTGAACAAACATCTCAGCATGATCGTGATTGTGGAGGATCCAGAAAGCAGATGGTGCCTAGAGGATGAAGAGACTTCTACTCACATCCTCACTGAATGCCCGGCAATAGTGGCAGCAAGGGATATCCATTTTGGGAGCAGTATCCTGGACCCAGAGGATGTTAAGAAGATTTGGCCTAGGAAGTTGGTCTCTTTTGCTCGCGAGATCGGCCTTCTCCATGGCTGACTTGCGATCCTAGGAATGTGGGTGCACAATGGGCCCGAAAAGGGAGGCCTAAGTGCGTCAGGTCCCGGACCGCCCACACACATACATACATACATACATACAAGCCTAAAAGAAAAATTCACTAGCTTGTCAGTGACAATTTGTATTGGAAAAGGTTTGGAGAAGAGAAATAAAGGTATATAGAAAAAATATCAATCAGATTTCGTATCTGTCTTGAAACTCTTCAGTTCTCAATGACAATTGGTGACGTTGGCAATCAAATGAGTTACAGGATGTTTTCATTAATTGATCTTGAATTTCCCATTTTCATTTTCAGATTTCAGTACCTAGTGAATACCTACCATGTTCTGTCTATATCACATGATTGATGAAATTACATATCATAAGCAAAGGGTTGAAAAACATTGAAGTCTTCAGGGTTGTAATGATGTTTATCAGAGTTTACTATGACGAAAAGCTTTGGAAAGTCAGGAATCAATGCATTTCTCAGCTCTCTCAGGTTTTCAGGTTTCGATCTTCCGAACAAGTGAAATTCAACTAGAATCAGTCTCCGGTTACTTAGATACTACTAGTAATGGAGCTGGTCAAAAAAACTTCATTACATAGCGAAAATAATTTTCATGTCAATAATAAAGAAACTGAAATACATCGAGAAATTATCTTGTTAAATTAATTACAGACCCCGTTCTGTCAATAATATCAATGTATTCTTTTCTGTGTAGGCAGCCCAAGCCGCTCAAGCCGCGCTAGTGGGAAAACAAGCCCTCGCCGCCACCCTCCAGCGCCAACTAGTAGAAGCCACCCAACAGCTGCAGGGCGAGCTGTCCCTCTACCAGCGCTCTGAAGCTGCCGCCCGATCAGCACGCGAAGCCGCCCACCAGGCGCAGGCGCAGCTGACCGCACTCGCAGCCGCGCACACAGCTGCGCAGGGCGGCGCCGAGCGAGCCGATCGCGCTGCAGCTGAAGCGGCGACCGCTGCGAGCAGGCAGCACGAGATGGTCGCCCAGGCCAAGGAGCGAGTGGGCAGGCTAGTGGTTGAGTTGAGGGCGGCCTTGGGTGGGTTGGAGGACACGGAGGAGGCCGCCCATAGGGCGGCTGAAGCTGCGGAGCTTGCTCGCACGAATGCGGTGGCTGCGGGGCACGGAGGGCACTCTGGGCATCACTTCTAGATCGGGAGTTTGAGGAATGGAATGAAGAGATGATTTTCTATTCATCATATACTGAGGGCCACTTTATGAAAACTTTAAGACTTGAGATTTATCACCTAACATTTAAGGCTCATCACTTATTATGACAGATGGAATATGGAAATATCATTGGTTATGTTATGAAACCATTCAAGACTTATGATTTAAGATTTGAGATTTGAGAAGATGACCAACTTCCAACTTGAGATGTGCTGATAAATGGAATAAGGAGGGCGCATCCAAAATTGACATCTCATTTTTCCGCCATTCGAAAATGATTCAAAATATCTTGTGTTGTTATTCTTGAATATTTGCTTTTCTTCTGATTGATACTGAACCGTTCTTCAAAAATACACTAGAATGTTGCAACTCTGTTGCCTCCATATCTGGAAAAAGATCCAAGAAGTGAGTCAGTTTCTGTTAGGCAAGGAATAGTGACTACTTTCAAAATGATGTGGAGATATAATATATGTGGGTATCATTTTAGGGATTAATAGAATGATATCAGAACATGAAATTTCAATTTCTAACCACTTTCTAGCTTACTAAACTTTGAAAATCTGGTTCTGTATCAGAAACTAGATGTTAGTAATGACAAAAGACATGTATCGTCCTAGAAACTAATTTTTTTTATAACTGTCTCCACTAATCTTAAGTCTCGAATGTTTAAATGTTGAATCTTAAATGCTGAAGGTTTTCATAATCACCCTCAGTTTTGGATAAGATTCAATTATTTTCGACATACCTATATAATTCGTTACCCACTACCTGCTACTACCATTATGTAATGTGAAACATTATAACACTAATGTTAGTTTCGTAATGAGATAGTAAAGTGTTACTTAACTGCACTAGTGAGGTATAGTGAAAAAATAAATTCAAATCCCAGTTGTTTACTTTGTCAAAAATAAAAAATAAATATGAACTAATTGATTATGAATATAGCGGATACTAAAGTTGAAATTGTCTCAGTTGCCGCGATATCTACTTATATCTGAATCTACCGGATGACACAGGAAACATGAAACAGCCTGTAGTTTTTTTATCTGAAGAAATACAAATTTGAAATTCGCAAGAGTTATATCATCGATGATGGCGCTTCCATTAAACCCAATGACTATTTTCTTCAACAACCTGATCGGAAGTAGACCCAACTTTTTTTTTTCTTATGGCACCCCGTAGCCTTTCTTATTTGCATTGAAATTCTCTATTCAACTATGTATCGCAATTTGATTGAATTGCATTTTATTAAAATACATGTAGTTGGCTGTGGCGCGAATGCAATGACATTTCGATACTTGATAGGCTTAGATATCCAAAGATCATTACTCAGATGATATTATCAGAATAATTTCCATACCCTGATCGGTCCCAGAAGATTGCCAATTTGAAAAAAAAATCATCTGAAAATAACTCAAGATATTGAGAAAAATAAGATAGAAACTCAGTTTTTTTCGTTTGGCTTGTGAAGAAACTATTTGTCTTTCAGTTTTGCTATTTATACCCATAATATGATCATCCATTTGGATACATGAAACTGAAATTGTTGTGATAATTGTTGTATCGTCCTAATATCGTGATTTATTTTCGGATAATTTCTTTAAACTCAATGAAATTATTGGCAATCTTCTGGGACCGATTAGGGTATGGAAAATATTCTCATAATACCGAGCATCGAAATGACATTGTATTCGTGCCACAGCCAACTTCATATATTTCAATAAAATGCAATTTAACAGCCAATTATTGAACGAATATCAAATTGTGATACATAGTTGAATAGAGAATTTTAAGGCGCATAAGATAGACTACAGAAATGTTTGTAAACAAAAAGTTGGGTCTACTTCCAATCAAACAGGTGATTGAAAAAAATTATCATTGGGTTCAAAGAAAACGCCATCATCGATAATATAACCCTTGTGAATTTCAAATTTTTATCTCTTCAAATAAAAAAAACAACGGGCTGTTACATTTTTCCTGTGTCACCCGGTATACTTTCCTGATCGGAATTCATGCTCATGAATTTTTATCTCAATTTGAAATGAACGAGTCAAAGGTGACAGTTCACAGAATGAGTGACAACTGAGAACACAATAGATTCACAACCCAAGCAAACGTTGGCTTGTGACATATTACTAATGAATCGTTAATTCAAGGAATATTAATTATATAGTGAGTTTATGGTACATATCTATTACCTACGGCCACTATAGAAAATTGGCAAAAACACACGATATACATTTATACATCCTCATGAAGTAACTCATTACGCACGGTAAGCAAAACGCACAGTTTGAATATATGCTATTCCACATAATAGAATAATACAACCTCAACAAATGGAGATATTATAGTGACTAGACACTTCTGAATACTTCTTATTCAGGGTGTTTCTTAAGTACGTGCAAAACATTCAGGGGCATGTTGCTGAGGTCAACTCAACTGTGGATCTTGCCCTAAGGTATACAGGGTTTTCCGAAACTATTGTGCCAAAATGTAAGGGTGGGTAGATCTCGCCAAAACAAACGTTTTTTACTCAACAACCCATAGGCGCATGCGCCTTATTTCGGTACTAATAGGTATCACAAGAAAAAAAGTTCAACATATGTACAGTCGTATTCAATAAAAAAACGTACCAGTATTGAACATAGAAGATTTCGGCATCCTAGTCCTAGTTGTGTGAAACTGGCTCAGCAAATGCTTTGTGTTTTTGAGAACCTATGATTACTGTCAATATTTGGTAAACATTCATTCCCGATTGCCCGTTTTACTCAAATAGGATGACGTTACTTTCTCTCTCAAATATACTTGTACGCTTTTTTTTAATACGACTGTACATACTCAAATAATATCGATAATGAGTGCCCAACTCTACCGATTTCGACGCTCGAGATCAATCGCCGCAGTTTAACATATGTACATACACAAATAATATCGATATTAGTGCTCAGCTCTACCGATTTTGACGATCGAGATCAATCGTTGCGCGGACCTTAATGCGCTATTATCACTGAACGCATGCGCATGCGCCTATTGCTCAATAAGTGAAAAACGTTTGTTTTGGCGAGATCTACCAACCCTTAAATTTTGGCATGATAGTTTCGGAACACCCTGTATATCGGTCAGACATCTCGTATGTTTAATCAGCGCCTTCATGAACATGGGATGAATTTCTTGAAAGAGAAAACAAATTCAACATACGCCAACCACATTAGAAGAAAACCATAGTTTTGATAATCATTTCGAAATTCGACACGTAGAAAATAAAGGAATAGAACTCAATCATTTTGAATCATTGAAAATCAACAAACTCAAAAAATTTACTCAACGATCCACTAGACCTCAATAGCTCACTACTGTTGAATTTGTTTTCTTTGTAGGTAATTCAAAAATAAAAAAATAAAACAGAACTTATTGGTTTAAAATTAAACTTCGTGGTAAACTCAAAATCTGTCCTTTTTTTTTCTTGATGAGCCAAACTCATAGGATGAAGAATGAAAAAGTATATAGAATTGTTATGCTTTGATCATTTTGAAATATTAAGTATATTATTGTATTGTTGTATAAAATATATTAAAATATCACAAAATCAACGCATTGATCATTTTGTAGTTTTGAAGTATTCAATATAATGTATGTATAATTGTATATACTCGAAGTTGAATGTATGTGGTTCTGTACATTCTATCAAGAATACCTTTCAATATTCACATTATATACTATGAGATTTTCTTCTCTCAATGAATCTAATCAAACGTGTACATTAAGACAAATATCCTTCGAGAAAATCAATTTATTTTAGCTTTCCTCCTACAAAAAATCAACCTCCATACATATTTAAAGAACTTCACTTCCACATATGCCATGCACAGTCTTAAACCAACCGCAATGAAAATGACATCTAAGAAAAAATATTCAATCCACGACACATCTGCAGTTGGACTCCTGAGATGTTTGGTCCCTTTGTGCCTGAGGACGTACTCTATCCACCACATAGCTCTGTCCAAGGACTTCATTGGTTGGTCAACCCATAATGATGCCAGATTTTTTATATTCGTTCTATACCTAGAATCAATAACGTTGCATCCCTAATAACACACTTATGTCCCATGGATATCCTTAGGACGTCCTGTCGGGACATTCAGGACGTCCATAGGACGTTCGAATTTGGTATCGTTGACGTCCATTGGACGTCTGTGGGACGCACAAATGTCCCACTTGAGGACCAACTAGGGACGTCCTTGAGGGATGTCCCTGGGACAACTATCGAATACCTAGATCCTACAGTATTCCTCATCAAGCACTTCAGAGGACATCCTTAGGACATCCATTGGACAATCTATCAGCAACGCTGAGGGATATCAATTGGATGTCCATTGGATGTCTTGAATTTAAATTTTTCTGGGTCCATGTTGCATAACTGATTAGAACTTCCAGTTGAGTTGATGGTCCGTAGAAGGTCCCCAAAAAGTTTCCCAAGGATGTCCAATGGACTTACGTGAAGGACATTGAGAGGAGTACTTATTGCCTACGAGCAATCATTCGTCGGCTAGGTGTTAGTTAACGTCCTCGCAGGGACAACATATTGAAAGTACATTAGAAGAGTACAGTTCATGTACCAATTGGGACATCCGACGGATATCGCTAAGGGACATTCGAAATATGTCCCTTAGGAACATTTCGATTTTTATACGTTCCTGGAATTATTAGGCGCGTCTGTGCAGAGATATTTGAAGCAATGTACCATCAGGGACATTTCATGGTTGTCTAGAAACGACATTATATAAGATCTGAAGTCATGCCAGAATATGTACTACTCGGGACATCCGATGGATGTCCCTAAAGGAACGTTTAAAATCATATCCCATCAGGGACATGCCAAGGACGTCCTTGCATGGACATTTGAAATGATGTACCAGCTGGGACATTCCGTGGACGTCCTTGCTCGTACATTGCATGAGATGCACGGGATGAGACGTCCCAAGGACACTTATTTTTGGTTCGGGACATTCGGACGTGAATTGTACCAAATAGGGACGTCCCTAGGACGTGCTATTAGGGATTGGAGCTTTTATGGAACAAGATTGCTGGTTTCTACGTACTTTGGATTCTCTGCAACCTCAACCAACTTCTCCTTCACCTCTTCCTTAGTTATTGTCACATAGTCAATGCCCAAGGCTACCTCAAATTCTTGCAATCTCTTGATATTCATAGCTTGATCGGCAATGAAAGGTAAACCCACAATTGGTACACCTCTGGAAACTGCTTCTTCGATAGATTGTAGTCCGCATTGAGATAGAAAAACTTTGACATTAGGATGTGCTGAAACATCAAACTTCTTCAGCAAGACGAAATAGAGTAATGATGTTCATCAAACGGTACAGTTTTTTTTGCTATTTAGTTATTGTTACCTAGGATATCTTGCTGGGGCAGCCATTTGTTAATGTGTACATTCTTCGGCTGGTTTGGTAAAGAATTCGCTTCGAATTTCCACAATACTTTGTATGGTAGTTCTGCGAAAGCCTCTATCAGAGTATTCCTCACATGATCAGGTATGTTCACACTTTGCACGTTCGAACCCAAACTGAAATAGATCACCCCTTCGTTGGCATTATCCAAAAAACTTTGGAGATCCTACAAAAAAGTGATTTCGACAATATCAAGTACAGTCGAATTCAATAAAAAAGCGTACAACTATTAAAAAGAGAGGATTTCGGGATCCTAGTTCTATGTAGTTGTGTAAAACAGGCTCAGCCAATGCTTTGTGTTTACGAGAACCTAAGACAACTTTACTGTCAACATTTGGTGAACAATCATTCCCGATATACCAGATTCTAGGCCATTATAAGCAAAATACAAATTAGGTATACTGACAACTAATGACAACAGTTTTTTTTATGTTCTGGTTCCTATAATGTTCAGAGAACATCATGAGAACCAAGAAAAATGAGGTAGGAATTGGTGTTCTTCTTAAATTTCTGGAGGTCATATGCCTCGGGGAACACCTCCTTTGGCAATGCGTTCCAGAGCCTCGCTGTTCGTTGGATGAACGACTCTTTGGGAAGAGATGTTCTGCAGGTCTCCAAAGTGACCACGAAGGGGTGCGAAGCCTCAACTCGATGGGTTAATCTCGCGGGGACTGCCAAGGGAGGAACAATTGTTGATATTTCAGAAGAGCATCGCCCATGAAAATATCTATAAAATAGAGCCAGATCGCCAACTTTTCTACGGTGTTCCAGGGAAGTGAGTGAGTTTATGAGCGAGGCATCACCCACGAGACGAATTGCCCTTTTTTGGACAGAATCCAACAGTGTCAGGATATGTTTGGGTGCTGCACTCCAAATATGGGAACAGTAATACCAAGCATCGAAATGGATGTCTTCAAAGGTATGGTTACTCCTGACAAGCTTATGTTGGTTTCTGATTTGCCTGGCTGGTATTGGAGCCCTGGAAGAGAAGGCAGTATGGAGGTTACTATCATCCACGAAGCTGTGTACTGGAGATGAAGTTGCTTCCAACAAACCGTTGATATGGAGTAGAAATAGTGTTGGTGCTAGAACTGCTAGAATCAATCCTTGCGGAACACCAGCATTTATGATAAGAGCCATAAGATGGATGCTTGGCGAGGAGTCCGTGGTGCCAGACTCGATCGAATGCCTTGGAGATATCAAGTGCAACGGCTAATGTTTCACCATATTTTTCAATAGATTGCTGCCATATATGTGAGACGTAAGCGAGTAGGTCACCAGTTGATCTCTGATGACGGAAGCCATATTGCCTATCGTTGATAATACCTGAATGTTCCAGGTATTTCATGAGATCGATCTTGATAGCTTCCTCCATACTCTTTGAAATAATAGATAGCAGTGCGATCGGTCTGTAGTGGCTAGCTAGGGTCTTTTTGCCGTTTTCAGGAACTGGTTGTACTCTTGAAATTTTCCAGTTGGACGGGAATATCCCCAATTTGTGAGAGTAGTTCAACAACTTGCAGAGAACAGGTGTTAGTTCGGGTGCACATTATTGACAGTTATTGACATAATCCAAATCTCAATGATACAGAGTGAAGTAACTGGATAAGACATACAATATCATCACACCCCATATAAGCCCAAATAACACCACATCATCAGGTTATCCCTATCCAACCGTTAGCATTTCTTTCATGATGATTCGTTATCGTTATCAAATATTTTCTTGCTCAAACCATCACTCATCACACATGAAAAATCGCAACGAAATGACTCACGCAATCTAGCGACACGTGTTAATGTATGCTGCAATAACTGTTGAATTTTCGTAACTATCTCAAGTCTAACAAATAAAAACAGTTTTTATGCAAAGTCACCTTGTATAGCAAAGTAATCCCTATTTACAGTGAAAAATCTTACTTGTGGTAGTACTCCAACAGGTTTTATGTGCATCTGCTCCAAACTGATGATAGTAGGCAAGGTAGGTCTGGGAGTATACAAAATGGGATTCGTGGTCAAGAACAGAAGACTCATGTTCCTTTCGATGTCCCCAAGATAAGGCAGATCATTACCCAAATACCTCCTAGCTATCTCATCGCACTTTGGAAGAGCATCGAAAGTCAAATAGTACCTCGCCCACAAGTAATAAAGGGCGCTTTTAACCCTTTCGTACATAGTCATCTGTCCGTGATAGGGTAGGAACATTTCCGAGTATAAAGCCGGTGGATGAGGATTACCCATGGCGAAATGGGTTCCTATATAGCCTCCCATTGAAGCTACCCCGATAAGAGGAGCTTGAAACTTAGCTGCTAGGCTATACAAAATGGGAGAGATGTAAGTTTGGGCGATGATGAGATCGAACTTTGCGCTGGTATCGTTATAGATTCTCAGGAATTCCTTGTTGCTGAATATGGCCTCTGACAGCTCGTAGTTCAGCGCGAAAATCTTGGGTACCTTGGACTGCACGTAGTTTTCTTTGTTCATGAAAAACTGGAACCCGTGTCTCTGCATGATCTCGTGGGTCTCACTCACTTCTATTTCTGTCAAGTTCACTAAGCTCGGATCTCTTAGTGGATACGGAGTTACCACCACAACTTCATGTCCCCTCAGTGAAAGTTCTCTCCAAATAGGCCGGAAGACGCGTTGGTGGCTAACGGCAGGCATTTGGAAAACGCCCAGTATACGGGCAGAGTTTGCCGATGATAACCCGAGCAGAACGATAAGGAGCACATGCATGTTACAAACTTGATTGACGACTACAGATTCTACGTTCAGAGAGAAATTTCGAGTTGTTGCTCGGTATATAGTGGTAGAAGAAACAACAATAATAACAGTATACGGGGGTCGATGGGTATTTACCGTCCATGAACGAATAATAGGATTATTGAGACTAATTTTCGATGGCTTTCTTCTTCTTCTTCTTAGACTTATACAATAAGACTGAAACTATGATGTGCAAGTATCAATTATCAATGTTCTAGAAATACTCTGTTCCTAGAAATATGTTCTACACCAATAAACATAAATGAACCAATGAATACTTTCAAATCCTCATTCAATCTCATCTCCATTGAATACTTTGTTTTATTGTTTGTGACACGTTATGGTCTAATTGATCATTGAGTAAAATGTCAAAATTTTTTAGTTTGTTGATTTCTAATGATTCAAAATGATTGAGTGTCAGTCCTTCATTTTCTACGTGCAGAATTTCGAAGTTATCATCAAAACTATGATTTTCTTCTAATATATGGTTGACATATGTTGAATTTCATGAAAAAGAAAACAAACTCAACATACGCCAACCATATATTAGAAGAAAACCATAGTTTTGATGATAATTTCGAAATTCTGCACGTAGAGAATAAAGGACTGAAACTCAATCATTTTGAATCATTAGAAATCAACAAACTCAAAAATTCTGACATTTTACTTAATGATCAATTAGACCTCAATAGTTCACCACTGTTGAATTTGTTTTCTTAGTAAGTAATAAAATTTATTTGCTATCAACTCTTTCAAGTTAATCAGGTATACCGTATTTTAATGTAGATATTGTGCCTAATTTCCGAAAATGGAGGTTTATCGTACCTGTCCACAGGTAACTAATCCTTCAGGCCAACGTTAGTTTAGTTCCTTTTTAGTTCATTGTACCAGTATATCACCTGACGAAGCTACTGTGTTAGCGAAACATGTCGTGTGTTTGAGAATTTTGTGGAAATCTTATCGTTTGTGAAGTTTTTACAAATATCCCAAAAATGTGCCTCAGATAATATGAAAAAATGTTCTATGGTTATCTTGAATGGCTTGGAAAGGACATTCGCTCAATTGTTAATTTGGTTTGCAGAAATGGTAGAATTTCAGCTACTCCTTTCTTGATAATTGTAAATCAATGCTGCATGAATCCACATTTACCAAGGTTCACCATTTTGTCATCTCGTGAAGATAAACAAAGTTAGTTATTCTCAATCATCATCGGTTGATTCTGAAACAATTTGAGTTCCTTCCAGAAGAACACTTGAGGTGAGTCATTTTTGCACTCTTGAAGTTGAATATAATTTTTTATCGAATATACATGGAATAAATATGACTGGACCAAGTTCTCAAATTACCCTTGTAACAGAATTATCAGTTTATCTGACCATGTTCCAAGATCATACACTTTGAAACACAAACATATAATTGAAGAGAATCAATCAATAGCTCAGTGCATTACCACTAGGGAAAATCATAACCCTACAAAATGTCGAAAAACTCTAAAACTTCATGGCACTTCGTCTCATTTCTATTATGGACAGCAGTATCTACAGAATCCTCCAGAATACTTTTTGTATTCCAGTTTCCCTCGTTCAGCCACCAAATAGCGTACCAACCGTTATGGAGGGAATTGTCTCTTAGAGGCCACCAAGTGACAGTTGTCACTCCCTACCCTCTCAAAGACGCCAGCTTAGTTAACCTTACAGAAATACACATAAGCAATATAGGAGAACCCCTCAAAACCTCCATGGCAAAGGACGCTTCCTCCACAGAAATAATGAAGGACTTCTATGCCACATCAGCCAAACTCATGGAAGTAGTCCTGGCACACCCAGACGTCATCGAACTTTACACAGACCCATCTAAAACATTTGACTTGATAGTCACAGAATGCATGCATCCCGGTATGTACAGCTTGGCAGCAAAGTTTCGAGCTGCTATCATAGGTGTGTCAAGCCAGGGTGTAGACGTGGCAACACACAGCTCCCTAGGTAATCCGATACATCCAGTGCTGTTTCCAGATCTTATCCTGGCTGACCAAGATGAACTGAACTGGAGGCAGAAGCTCCACAGCATATATTTCTCACTCTGGCTGTTGTATTATTACAACTATGTGGTGGTGCCAGAAGCAGACAGTATTGCCAGGAAGTATCTGGGGGAAGATTTGCCATATCTGGGAGATATTGGCAGGGATGTTAGTTTGATTTTCACCAGTACGAATCCTGTTATCTACAGGGTGAGGCCTGATGTGCCAACTGTTGTGACGCTTGGGCAAATGCATTTGAGACCTCCAAAACCATTGAGTAAGGTGGGTTTCACATCAGGAAACTTGTTGTATTCGTAAAATGTCCATGAAACAAGCAATGTTATTGTTATTTCAGGTTCTACAAGATATCCTAGATAATTCCCAGAATGGAGTAGTCTACTTCAGTTTGGGATCTAACATGAATAGTTCTGAATTAAAAAAGACCCTTCAAAAGGTCATAGTCGAAGCAATTGCAAGCCTTCCATATACAGTTCTATGGAAAGTTGATACAGGAAAGGAAAACCTGCCGGATATGCCTGAGAATATTATAGTGCAAGAATGGTTTCCACAACAGGATCTTCTAGGTAGTTATAGTCTTCACTGGACAAGCCAGTTGAAGTCATCACAGGATAAATTCTTGAACAAAAGTGAGTATAGGTTATTCTCTTCTTTTTTTCAGCTCACCCCAATATCAGAGTTTTCGTAACCCAAGGAGATCTGCAGTCTATAGAAGAGGCGATTATCAGAGGCGTACCGATGGTGGGTTTGCCATTTCTTGGGGAGCAAGCGATGAATGTGAAAAAAATGTCTAAGGCTGGAATTGGCCTTGAAGTTGATCCTAGCACAGCGACCATAGGAGAACTTAGAGCTGCTATAATGGAAGTAGCACAAAATCGGAAGTAAGTATACGTACCACAGGGCCATTGTTCATTTTCTAAGTATTCCCAAAAAGTTACATCCTCCAGAAGTTCAAAGGAAATTCCAACACCTACCTCCTCTTCCTGTCCTCCCTAGGTACGTGCGATCTTCCATTAACATTATGGGAATTTCCTTTCGTGCGCTCCAGCAGATGAAAAAAAATACTATCCTTTCATATCGTTACCATATGGCTATGGTTTACTGAACCCAGTTTGCCTCCTTGTTCTGTGATTATATTGTTTGATCAATTGATTAATCATGTATATTTGTATAGGGAATAATATATTTTAGTTTTATTTCTAGCAACGCTATGATATCTTTCAAATATGGATTGACCGATTGAGTACGGTTTTCTATCTATTCTATTCTATTCACACAATTTTTCACATTATGCCTGTTTTTTTGACTTTTGCGATAGATACAGAGTGTGCATTGAACATGCTGCAAAAATTCAAGAATATATTCCTTAGACCGAATAAAGAAAGAAATAATGTTAGTGAATATGTAAGGAAAATGCTTCAAGGTAATCAACAGAAACCAGCTCTTCAACAGTGAAAATAAAATAGAGTTTTTTTGTAATAGAAATAATTTCAAGTATTCGTTAAATTTTGATTATTTCTGTTTTTGCCAATTGGTTCATGGTTCAGAAAAGTTGTATTTTCTGTTTCGCGCCAGGCGCTTTTTCACTTCCAGTCAGCTGCTTATGATCTATAAGGCACAGATCCGACCTGTCCTGGAATAGTGTTCCCATATTTGGAGTGCAGCACACAAACATACCCTGAAACTGTTGGATTCTGTCCAAATAATGGCAATCCGTATCCTGGGTGATGCCTCGCTCACAAACCCATTCACTTCTCTGGAACACCGTAGAAAAGTTGGCGATCTGGCTCTATTTTATAGATATTCTCATGGACGATGCTCTTCTGAAATATCAACAAGTGTTCCTCCCTTGGCAGTCCCCGCGAGATTAACCCGTCTAGTTGAGGCTTCGCACCCTTCGTCTTTGGAGATCTGCAGAACATCTCTTTCCAAAGACTCGGTCATCCAACGAACAGCAAGGCTCTGGAACACATTGCCAAGGGAGGTGTTCCCCGATGCATATAACCTCCAGAAATTCAAGAAGAACACCTATTCCTACCTTATATCCCTTGGTTCTCACGATGTTCTCTGAACATTACAGGATATCCCTTCTCATGGGAACCAGAATATAAAAAAAAAAACTGTACTGCAAAAAGAATCTAAATTCTATGGTTTGTGAATAAAAACAAACGACCTCCTCCGTAGACATGGTTCTGTAATTTCTGGATCAATTATAAAGATACCTTATGAAATTTGGGAAACTGTGAAAGCCAGAGCACTATTCAGGTAACAAAAAAGCGTCAGAATAGATTATTTATTTCTTGCAGGTATCGATTGAGAATTCAAGAAAGCAGTAAAATACTTGATGACCAACCAATGACCAGTCTCGAAAAAGCAGTTTGGTGGACAGAATACGTCATTAGGCATAATGGTACGAAAATTCTGCGTAGTCCTACAGCAGATTCACCTTGGTGGGAGTATTTTCTACTCGATATACTAGGAATATTTGTTATAGTCCTTTTTATTTGTTACAAAATGATGCGGTACCTTCTGAAGTTAGTTAATGTTGGTAAAAACAAAGTTAAAGTGAACTAAGTTATTGGGAAGATTGTTATACCTTTTGGTTATTAAAAACGTGATTTACAAAAAATTGGGATTTCACTCATACCAAACCATGATTCAACTATTGTTGAACGTACAGCAACATTGCAAAAGTCATTGTTGCTTGCGATGATTTTAATTGTATCAAAAGCAAACACTTGGGTTCGGCTTTTATCTTCTAATCAAATATTATCAAAAATTCAAGGCAAACTTTGAAATTCTGTGTCTCACGAAATAAATAAAACGACAAAAATGTAATTAAGTTTCGTTGTTTTTCTTGTCTTTTGTCACCCGTCCCATTCATTGTTTCAACTTTCGAAAGACTCTGTCTACTCTATTTCTTGTACTTTATGGAGAATTATCAACTAGAATATCCTTGAAACATCGATGAGGTACAGGATAATTTCATGACAATCACTCAAAATACGGAAATACGCGATATTTGCGAAATGTATTTTTTCTTTATACAGTGTGTCCCACTTACCATGCTCACCATGGGTATCTTTTTAACGGTGAGAGATACGAGGTCGGTTAAATGACACCAAATGTGGAGTTTGTCAAATGTAGGTCATAGCTCATAACATATGGAATTTTTGTTGAAATTTAAAAAAATGGCTGCTCCAAGATGGCGGACAAGATTTGGTCCGATTCCATTCAAAAATGGTAAGTGGGGGTTTTTGAGGTCGGAGATCATGATTTTTTTTGTTAAAATTTATAAATTCAAGATGGCAGCTTCCAAATAATTTTTTTTTGAATTAATGACGATAACTCCGTTGTTATCAACACAAAACTATTACTGCGACATATCATCTGTAAGAGAAAAAAAAGTTATTTGTAACTAAGTCATAAAGAGCTATGACCTACATCTGAAAAACTAAAGTTGGTGCTGATATCTCAAATTCTAAAAGAGTTGGTATATATTTCATAATTTTTTCGAAATCACTTTGAAAAACTGCCATGAGGATGTGAAATTCCTATTTGAATATTTTCACAAATAAAGAAGTTACGGAGGAGACATAAAAATGATCAAAATCTGTTTTTGCGTATAAAACAAAAACGAATAGATTTTATCAAAATATTTTTTCACATTATAGTTGGCCTTGACAAACTCCACATTTGGTGTCATTTAACCGACCTCGTATCTCTCACCGTTAAAAAGATACCAATGGTGAGCATGGTAAGTGGGACACACTGTATACGGTAAATGTTCAAGTAAGCGATCGGTACAGTAAACTATGTACCTGACTACCAATCCTGCGGTCCGGGTTCAATGCTTCCGAGGGTCATTATTTATTAATTGTGAAACATATACTTTCTAGGAACTAGGTTTATTTAGGCCGAGTTAGGTTAGATTGTTTGAAAAAAGTAGTGTCCTTTCTCATGCAGAAAAGATTTTTTCCTTCCTTTCCACCGATGGAATTATTGGAATGTCCAGGCGCTTATTTTCAATGCTCGTTTGTTGGTTGTAGAATTAAGTACCTACTTACCAGTTATCTGTTATCTTCAGAATAAATATCTTCAGCACCAAACAAATAATATAATATAGTGTATTTTGTGATAAGAAGAGTACATAATGTGGGTAAAGATTATATAAAACTAAAAGTATTTTCTGTTAAATCCAATATGAATGTTGAAATCAATCGTCAGGGTAAAGCACCATGTCGAGGTCTACGTCAGTTTCTTCTAGTGGCAATTCCTCCACAATTTGCTCCTTGAAGGCCAAGGCCACCAAATATGGACGTGATTTTTGTGACGTTGAGATAGCTTTCAAACACCTATCGTAGTAACCTTCTCCGTGTCCCAGTCTTCCACCCTCTTTGGTAAAACCAACCCCTGGGCATATCACCAGGTCCAACCCTGAAAAAAAAACAACCGCCAATGAATTGGTGATCATCCTGTGCAACAAATATTCACCTGAGGGTTAGGGAAATTATCATATTCTTAAACACACCTCGCGTTCCATATACATCATGCATTATGTTATTATCATATCGCAATACATTCTTGCGAAAAAAATCTAATTTTAAAGAAGATTAGCGGGATTTCTGTGCGTCAGTGTATTTGTTTACCTACATAATTATAGAACTATGCTATCACAATTATCACAAATTATATAAACTATGAAATAGTCGACGATAATTCGGAAATTACTGCTATGTATAATTTATAACTTCAAAATATGTTATTTTCCTGTATTCTTTCAATGTTGCCAGTGACATTAAAAGAATATCACAATATAAGATTACATTTGTTCATCGAATTTGAAATCTAACTGTCGTACTTCATATACAATGTTGCAATAACTTTGCTGGAATAATTCATTGATTCAGTGGTTGCTGTGACCTTGCAGTAAGATATAGCGACGATCGCTGATGTAACATTACACATTACATATTGATATACTGCTGCAATATTGTTGAATTATTACTTTGTTTAGAGGGAGATTGCACTGAAATTTCACAAACACTTTTTCAAATGGGAGACTGAGCAAGCAATGGAGCTCAATTTCCTTATTATCTAATATTAGGTGAAGAAAATATATATATATATAAGGTGTGTCAAAGGTGATTGCCTATTTATTTGTACGAAACCCACTGGCATAAACATATCAAATTAGTTTATTTTTGAAACAGCAGACCAAAACAGTAAACATTTATTATTAGGTATCCCGACATCAACAGTAGGTAGGTCATGTTGTTTACAATAAACAACATAGGATAAACAATATTATTTACCTAGTAACAGTTGTATAATAATTTACTGGCTGACTGACAGAAACGCCCAAAGTCATGATAGCTCATCATCAGAGACAATTTGGTCTGTTCGTTTGTGTTGTTAGATATGCTTAGAGCACGTATAGCAAAAATGCGTATGTTCATTTGGGTCGAGCATTTGATCTAAATATGTTTTTTTGTGTGGAGCAAATTGCTGTAGATCAAAAAGATCGAGCTAAATCAACTCGGCCAAAAATGGTCGAGCTAGAAAATCAGATCAGTTTAGTCGCAAGTTGGGTTGAAAACTACAAAAATTATATATAAATATCAGGAGTTTCACCAACTGATGTCGTTTTAGACGCTTTAATAAGCGATGGAATGAATAGGTAATGAATATTATGTTTTATTTAAAACGAATGCTAAGTATATTTTATAAGGCGAAGAAAATATATTATTTTGGAAATCACGCATTATTTTTCTTCCAGAGGGTGGTGAGGAAGAAAATCCCATCATAAGAATTGTTCGACTTTTGATGTAGATCCCATGCCATTTTCCGAATTCCGATTATCAACCCCAATCCCGATTATCCACCCAAAAATATTTGAGGCTTAGTCAAGAGTGTTCGTTTGTAGCCAATGTACTTTACTAATTTTTCTGTCCAAATATACTACAAACTTCACACGTGGGAGAAAATGGGTACCGTTGCTCCCTTGATATATAAATAGCTATTGCATTTATTTTGGGATGCTATATATTATGGCTTAAATTGGAGCGTTTTTGTCAGTCAGACTGAAAATAGACAGGGAGCCAAAAGCAAGATATTTTAGATTTCATTCCGCTTATTCAATTGTTCATGAATGTCATGCAAGCATTATTTCTTCTTGCAAAAAGTAACAAATGAACAACAATGAACGATAAGTGATTCAGAACTTCCTATACCGCTATTCCTAGATGACTGGAAATAGCAAAATACCTGTTTCCAGTGCATCCCTTCTCTCGTCTTTCCAAGATGGTTGCTTGATATTCCACTTGGTGACAGGTAGAGAAGCCCAATCTTCCATACCATTAAGTTCCACCATCTGCATGGCTGCTTTCTTGTACCTGAAATAGGAGTAGTTATTCATTCAAGTTGTTGTGAAATCCACAATAAAGTACTACCTTGGTACGAAGCAGCACTTGCCATCCTCAAAAATCCTCTCAAGTATTGGTTTCGTATTAACTTCACTGTCCAAACTCAGGTAGACCGAAATATTCTTAGCATTTTTGTATTGTGGTAGGTTGAGCAACTGGAATTATAGGTATTTATATATATTTTGCTTGATTATTTGGGTTTTTTTCTCGTCTATGAGAAGAAAATATTCGTATTATTTCAATATTGGTATAATAGGACAAATCAGATGATTTGCCCCTAAATCTCATTAAGAAGTGTCATACAATAAGAAGACAACTTTTGCATGGAATTACATTTACGGGAGCAGATTCCTTCCCGAAACGTGCAAATATAAGTAAAAGATTGATATTTTTTCAATATATTTATATTTTCTTTCTTGGAACATTTTCCAAAACCGCACGAAAACATGGTAAATTGGCTCTCGGTCGAATTGCCTGAAATTTTACTATGTTATTATGGGATGGCTCATTAGAAAAATATGTGGGTTCAAAGAGTTTTGTATGCTTAGTTTCTGATATATAAGCCGACAAAGTTCATAAAAACGTCGTATCGGGGTAGGATTGACAAAGAAAAAACTGTTTTTTTCAGTATAAATAAGACAAAATTAGCTATATATTAATCGGAACTCATAATCATGTCTAGTTATAATCACATAAATTATAGTAAATCAGGGTGTATACGAGGCACGGTCAAAAAATTAATTATTCGGAAAAAAAATTCGAGCACTATTCCAAAACCAACAAGTTATATTTCGGTGGGATATTATAGTTTCAGTCTATTGTAGGCTTCGAAAACGTATTTTGATTCTTGATAACTATCTCTGTTCGAAATATGAATTTTTAGAATTTTGTGTTATACCCCTTTTCGAAAACAATTGACAGCTTGTTTTTGATCACAAAGAAAGGGATTGATTGATACTGTTGATTGAATGAAAGCTGGGATAACTCACTAGAGAATTCAGTTGTTCAATATTGCCTTTCATTTAGATACAGGGTGTGTTAGATTTTGTTGATTCAACATGTTTCAATTGAATATCTCGAAAACAGTTCCGTTAATTCGGATCTCATTTTACTCACACTATTTTGAATATGTTGACTATCATATGCAAAAAGTTTTTCAATTTTTTTATGTTTCGTTTCTGAGATATCAATTTTTGATAGTAATATCCGAGGTAATAACTCTATAATACCTGTAATATTGTGAACTCAAAAATTGAAATCTCAGAAACGAAAAATAAAAGATTTAAAAACTTTTCGTATATGATAGTCAACATATTCAAAATAGTGTCAGTAGAATGAGATCCAAATTAACAGAACTGTTTTCGAGATATTCAATTGAAACATGTTGAATAATCTTCAACAAAATCTAACACACCCTGTATCTAAATGAAAGGCAATATTGAACAACTGAATTCGCTAGTGAGTCACATCAGCTTTCATTCAATCAACAGTATCAATCAATCCCTTTCTTTGTGATCAGAAACAAGCTGTCAATTGTTTTCAAAAAAGGGTGTAACACAAAATTTTAAAAATTCATATTTCGAACAGAGATGGTTATCATGAATCAAAATACGTTTTCGAAGCCTACAATGGACTAAAACTATAATGTCCCACCAAAATATAACTTGTTGGTTTTGCAATAGTGTTCGAATTTTTTTTCCGAAAAATGAATTTTTTGACCGTGCCTCGTATTCACCCTGACTTACTATAGTTTATGTGATCATAACTAGACATGTATTTGAGTTCCGATCAACACATTTTCTAGATTATTCTGTCTCATTTATACTAAAGAAACAGTTTTTTTCTTCGTCAATCCTACCCCGATCCGACGTTTTGACGAACTTTGTCGGCTTATATCTCAGAAACTAAACATACAAAACTTTTCAAACTCACATATTTTTCTAATGAGCCATCCCACAATAACATAGTAAAATTTCAGCCAATTCGACCGAGAGCCATTTTACCGTGTTTTCGTGCGGGGTCCTTTCACCTGACAAAAGATTGGATTTTTCTTTTAGGCTCTCTGGTAGACATTTTTTTCAAAAGCAGTGACAGTTTGGGGCAAATCATCTGATTTGTCCTACTATACACGTATATTGAAATAATACTCAAATTATTATTTTATGGAAACGAGGAGAGAAAATCCCAAATAATCAAGTTAAATGAAAAAAGTATGATTTATTTTCTAACCTTTTTTTGTATAGCCTCTGACTGCTTCTTTCTCTCCTCAGCAGTCATTCGAGCAAGTTTCTTTTCTATTTCTGTCCTCAAAGCCGCCTTTGCTAATTTCACCGTACTCATTGTAGCCCTACAATTATTCAACAGAGTTCAAAAAGACTGAATGTGACTGAATGCAGAATTCGATAGATGACTGTGAACAAGTTCAAAGCCAAACAGATTAATCCCACAGATCACTCAACGTCTTATACCAAGTAGGTAGTTTACTAACAAACAAATCATTATAAAATTTACTTGGAATAGCCCATATCAGTGAGTAAGGTCATGATGTCGTAATTATTTTTCAGATATTCGGTACTTTATCCAATTTGAAATCATGCATATAGTAAATAAATATTAACCTACAAACACAAACTCGCTTACAGAGCATAGTGAACCTCAACTTTAGCTTTGTTGATTTTCGGTTAACCTGTAGAGACATCATCTTCTAGAACTTGGTGAAACATTGTATCTAAGTCTATGTATTTTTCCTTGAATGACCACTTCACTGGTCATATCAACTCCTTAGAGTCCATCACAGAGTGAATCGAAGAAGCGAGAATTTCGAAATTTTGTAGACCGGGTGACCCAAGTTATCGTATGCAGGCAATTTCTCGCTTATTTGAGAAGATAATTGAAAAATTCAGAAACTGCATTGAATGGCATTGAAGTACCTTCCTCATGACATATAAAAAAATCTATTACATTTGACAAATCTCTGGCAGCTCTCCCCCACCTTTTATTTTCAGATGGCACCCCCTGTATACTTGGTATTTTTTTATTATTGTAACAAAAACAGCAACATTTAATGAAGAATGAATTTCAACTAAAATAGCTTTCATGCGAATCAAAAAATGAACTAAAAATCACAGCAAGTGTGAAATTATTATGACCTCGGCTTCTTGAAACAAAAATCATGAGCTGAGGCAATATTTCATTTTTATAAATAAATGACAGAGTGAATTAGCGCGAGATCACAGTTGAAAGAGTTGATATATCAGTTGCCTCAGTCTCCGTCGGGCGCTTGGTATTTTCTTTTAACTATGGCGAGATGAGGTTTCCACGTCATAAGAGGGTCCGTTTTCAGAAGGTACTATTATTTATGTCCAAAAATAAAACATTCCAGTTAATTTTTTGAACGAATTATGTCGTCAATCCTTATTTATGTATAAAAGGATCATTATAAACATGGTTTGAATTGAAAGTTCTACTAAGGTGTACAGGGTGATTCACCTTAAATGTCTCCCCCCTCTAGCTCAGTTATTTTTGAACGGATTCAAAAATTTAAAATATCATCTGAAATGATTTTCGGTAGAGTTTTTTTCCGCTCCATCAGAAAATACAAGGTGCTCGGAACAAACGATCTACAGGGTAGGTACTATTTGATTTTTTTAAATAGAACACCCTATTTTTCATTATATTTTTAGATTCTTCCTGAAGACCTGATTTCATCGATGTATCACACTTGGGGTCTAGCGGAAGTGATTACAGAGATATAGGGTGTTCAAAATCGAGATTTTTCAACTTTAGGATTTTTCTGTGACGAAACTATTCTTTATCGGTCAAAACGGCTTTTATATCCGTATCTTAACTTTTGATTTACTATCTACTGACATTTAATGATTGGAACAGATACAGAGTAATCAGAATTTTGAATCTTGAACCACACTGTATAATATGTTCCAATGAAATTTCAGTAGATACTAGTAGATAGTAAATCGAAAGTTGAGGTAGGGACATTTGAGCCGTTTTGACCATTAATAAATAGTTTCGACACAAAAAAATACTAAAGTTGAAAAATCTCGATTTTGAACACCTTATATCTCTGTAATCATTCCCGATAGACCCCAAGTGTGATGTATTGAAGAAATCAGCTCTTCAGGGAGAATCTAAAAAACAATGAAATACAGGGTGTTTCATTTGAAAAATCAAGTAGTACTCTGTAGATCGTTTTTTCCGAACACCCTGTATTTTCTGATGCAACGGGGAAAAAATTTCTGAAAAATCATTTTAGATGATTTTTTAAATTTTCAAATCGGTTAAAAAATGAGTAAGCTAGAGGGGGGGGACATTTATGGTGAATCACCCTGTACACGCCCATTGCCTTAGAGCCATTTTTGGAATTTTGGCCCCTTCATCAAATCATAGTACCTAGGCTTATGCCTAATCTAGACCGCCAATTCTACCAGGAAAAAGGTGAGCCAACCGTCATGTTACACTCATGAACTCGAGGAACATAGGCGTAACGAAAGAAAAATGTTGGGAGTGGTCTACTTTGGGAGATTTTTAAACCATACATAAAGTAGTGAGAAATGAATGAAATATTCAGTATTCAGGTCTCATAGCTCCCAATAATCAGATTTGAGAACTCTATTTGAAAAACGGCTAATTTGCATATGGTTTCAATGTCTTGGACTTGCCTGGAAGCATCAGAAAGCTGTCTGGTATGAAATAGTATGAACATATTCATCTCTATGGACCCAAACTGTATGATATGATTCCGACACAGCTGAACACTATAAATACCTTCAATTCCTACAAAAGAGCTGTCAAAAATATGATATGTCAAAACAAAAGTAAATATGACTCAGTCTCCAATTGAAAATAAACAATTTATAGTGATGCTAAAAGTTTTTCCACCTCCAATTCCAGTATGTTCTTTCTCACCTTCCCAGAGCTCAATAAGATGAAAATCAATCAGCAGCAGCAGGTTGATTTCGATACCACGTAAAAGTAATGCCAGTTTTGGGGTTTTTGCGTGTTGAGCAGAAGCGTTTTCAGGCGAGCAACTGAGGAACTGACCCTACATTTTCGGGTTGCTGCGATATGACTGTTGATATTTCAGATTCGTTCACATTTTTGAAGAGAGCTCGTTGAGTACTATAAATATTGGTATGGAATTTTTGTTTTGAAAAATTGATCAACGGGTTTTGACTTAGGAAGATGTTGCGAGTTGAACGCACACACTATACTTATCGAAACAGTGCCTTCAATGGTGATTTCGCCCTAATCAACAGTTTTTCAGATATTGAGCGTACTCAATTTTTTTCAAATGAAACACACGCTATTCATTTTCATTGTATGACTTGTAATATCAGATTTCAAATCAATGTTTGGTTTCGATATATGAAATTTTTGCGAACGGTCCAGTATTTTTTATAGGACTAGATGAAAATTCATGAAACTTTATAGAGGATGGCTTTTGATGAATGAACTTTTTGATATTCAAATTCTTTTGCAATAAAGTGTTGGATCGAAGAGAATAACAAAGAAACTGAAAAATATCTAAGTGCTCAAAATGTTTTTTGAACAATATCCCAAGCGGTCATATAATTTCCTATTAAATACAATGTAAGGTATCAGATAGCATTTGAGGCGTGATTGTAAGAGCTTCCTCACATATTTTATTTTGAAAGATTTTCGAATTTGCTGGCTGTTCCAGAAAACGATTATTCAAATGTACTCAAAATAAAGTCTACATTGAAATATCCACAATATCTGAAAAACTGTTGATTCAGCATCATTGCCAATATCACCTTTGGATTGGACATCATCATCAGGCACCATTATTCTGTATGAAATTTCATGAATTGAAACTTGATATCTCGAGATGCAGAGGTTATGAGGGGGCGCTGAATTGAATTCAATGAACATCTAAATAGCGTGTTTAATTCGAAAAATCAGAGTTGGTTAATATCTGAGAATATGTTGATTTGGCAACATTGCCAATATCACTATAGAATTGGGCATCATCAAAAACCATCCCGTATGAAATTTCATAAATTTTCTCCGAGCCGTTTCTGAAATATAAGACCGTTCCCAGACTTCCTTCAAAACTTACTCAACGAGAATGAAACATGGAATAGTGGAGTCTTTAGACCAGGGCTGAAGCCTTTGAAAAAAATCTTGAAAATATTGAAGAAAAATATCGAAATTTTGAGAAAAAATCTCGACATAAATAAAATAAAACCATTGTGGCGCTCATAACGCCTTCCTGGTATAATACCACTGGCCAGTGGCATAGATAAGTTCTGCCAGTGGCCACCCCTTTTTTCCAGTGATTTTGTCACCTTGTGTTGTTCATTTAAATATGTTTAAATCAAATACTAATCTCTCTGGTTAATAATAGTGACTCTATCTGGTAATAGATAATCGAAGTATGGGAAATACAATACGAGATACAAGATAGAAAACTGTAAATTTTAAAAGACATGTTATTCATAGTATTCGTAGTATCTCTATTGAATAGTAGATGGCGCAGCATTAAACAGACTTCAGCAGACTTTTAATAAAATGATGTCTTGTTCTGAGAATCTTGGGCTCACTAGAGGCTACAGGGGCTCACCTTATTCAAAATGCTCAAAACAACAAATCAATCAACAGGAATCACAGGCACCTTTACATCAAATAACATTAGTAAATAAAATATTAATACCCTCCACAGGAGTGAACAACGTAGAACGTAGGTATGAAGATCTGTGCTGTACAAGGTTGCTGCATCAACATTCAGCATTCAGTATTCACACACCACTAAATAATTTATACCGCTTTACAGAGATAAGTTACCTTCGAAAAAGAAAACACACTGAAACACTTTGCCTTCTAAGGTGTATTATTGGTTGCCTGATAGTAGTAAGAGTAACAGTTTCACCAGTTCATGAAATATAAAGAACTTCAGTAGGTACCTCATAAGAATTGCGAATTAATTTTTCTGTATGGTTGTACAATTTTGTAATGAATATCAAAGTTATAATCATGCAAGTACTCTTTATGATAATTTTATAACACAACTCATCTGCAGCACCAATGCAGCTACTTAGCAACCCTAATAATTCCGAGTCGTGTCGTATATGCCATAAATGATCTGAAACATACCACTCATACGTTCCAATTTGGATAATTTGACACCATCCGCTAAGAAAATGAAATTCGAACAAGATTTCAATGAGCTGTCACTGTCACGGTCACGTGCAACGTGCAAAGCAACAAATTTTGCCGAGAGTTCCCGAAAAGAACATCTGCAAAAGCGAATCCTGTCGAATATCGAACAATTCCAACAAATTCAATTCAGTTCGCTTGCTATGATGTCGTGGTAATGCTCGTGTGGTCAGTTGTCTTGTGCATGTGCAATTTTGGCGAAGTTTGATTTTTTGTCGCATGCCTAGGTAAGAAAAAATAAGTCACTTAAAAAATTCTTCTGGTGCTCTCCTATTTCGATCTGAAATAATGTTGTTGCTTG